GTGGGGATGAGGTTTTGATGTTGGTGTGCTGTGCCTTTTTTTCTCCACACATAGTGTTGTGTGTTCTTCCCAAACAACTCAATTTTGGTTTCATCTGTCCACAGTATATTTTGCCAGTAGTGCTGTGGAACATCCAGGTGCTCTTTTGCAAACTTCAAACGTGCTGCAATATTTTTTTGGGACAGCAATGGCTTCCTCCGTGGTATCCTCTCATGTACTCCATTCTTGTTTAATGTTTTCCTTATTGTAGATGTGTCAACAAAAATGTTAGCATGTGCCAGAGATTTCTGTAGGTCTTTAGCTGACACTCTAGGATTCTTCCTTACCTCATGAAGCATTCTGCGCTGTGCTCTTGCAGTCATTTTTACAGGACGACCACACCTAGGGAGAGTAGCAACAGTGCTAAACTTTCTCCATTTGTAGACAGTCTGTCTTACCATGGACACATGAAATCAAGGCTTTTGGAGAGACTTTTGTAACCCTTTCCAGCTTCATCCCTTTCCAGCAAGTCAACAATTCTTGATTGTAGGTCTTCTGAGACCTCTTTTCTGCGAGGCATGGTTCACATCAGACAGTGCTTCTTGAAACCAGTAAACCCAAAACAGGTGTGTGTTTTTAAAGGGCAGGACAGCTGTCAGCAACACATCCAATATCATCACACTGATTGGAGTCAAGGTTGGCTCACTCCTGGTTCCAATTAGCTCTTGAAGAAGTCATTAGGCTAGGGGCTCACATACTTTTTCCTCCCTGCACTGTGAATATTTACACGTTATATTCAATTAAACCATGGCAACTTCTAATGTTTGTGTAGTATTATTTTAAGCAGACTGGGTTTTTCTATTGTTGTGACTTAGATGAAGTTCAGAACACATTTTATGACCAATTCATGCAAAACTCCACGTAATCCCAAGGGGTTCACATACTTTTTCTTGCAACTTTAATTCTACAAGTAGCACTTGTTTAATTTGGTTAGCACTTATCTAAAACAAATACTAATTTGTAAAATGTTATTTATTTATTAATCAGATTTAGGTACTGCCCATCTAACTCTCAGAATAAACATTTGATACTGTACTATAACTTTCTCATAAGTATTAATTCCCTTTTCCTCAATAATATAAAGTTGAGCATGGCTTTTAAAACATAAGAATTTCCTGGACAACAGCATTCCACAAAAGCAGAAGTAGTTCCCTAGATCTATTGAACATTTTATAGAAAAACTGCCTTTCAGCAATATTCAATGTTGCCAAGCATTCATTTATAGTCATTTCTTAATTAACTTTCCAAAGTCATAAGTTTTACTCTAGAAGTTGAATTATATCATGGTATTTCATGAGTCATATGCAATACATAACACATAATCCAATTACCCTCCATAAGGAAATATTTTTCAAAATTACATTTTATTATGCTAATATTAATTCAGTTTTATATGAATTAGGAGTCATAAACTATCATCAAGATCAGAATTTTCTAAAAAGTATGAAATGCCAGTTTATTAGTTCGATTTATTAGTTCGATTTAAAAAGTTAAAATATTTTCCTACCATTATTGCTATATCCTCTTAAAAATGTTTTAATTGCCTTGTGTTCCCTGTTTCTCAGAATACATTTTTAAAAGATTCCACTTCATAAAATTCAAGAGCTTCAATCAAAAAATAATAACTAAATTTTCCTTTTAAATTAACTGAATATTAATTAGTTACAACTGTTTTACATTTTTTACAAAGATGTACTTGTCTCTACAGGAATTTTGGTATACAGTTCTGCAGAATTTTCCTTCATGTTGTTTAACATTACATAAAATTACTGGAAGTAATCACTTATCTGTTTGTTTTGAATGAGATATTGCTGATAGGTTGATGGCATTCAAATATACATCACTACTCTGGACCAAGTGAATAATGACATTGATCTCTCTTTTTCCTTTTATTTATACATAAACAGAACAAAGAAGAAAAATAAAATAGTAGTGAAAGTAAAAAAACAATAAAATACAATTATATAAGTAAATGTTTATGTATATAAAATTGTATACAAAATTTCAATATAGAAGGGCTATATTTCTTTATAATTGTCAACATATAATCTACATCTATAAGTAACTTCTTAATAAATCAAGATAATACGATGTCTTTTACCCAATAATTGGAGCCATAAACTTTTGATGGACTTCCTTTGTTATGTATGGGCTGTTGTTTGGGGAACTGGAGGTAACTATCTTCAGGGTAGTGTAGGGTGGAGCCACCCTCAGTTCCCCAAACAACAGCCTGTATATAACAAAGAAAGTCCACAGCATAGGAGCACACTCACAGGGCAAGGTCTAGGGTCCCAAGTCCGTCCACCGGGCTAAGTAAGTCCATGAGGCAAACTGTAGTCCACAGGGCAAAATCAAGGTACAAGACAAAAGGCAGTTCTCAAGACAAGGTAAAGCAAGACAAGGCAAAAGGCACAAGTCAAAAGCCAAAGGAGCGTAAGCCAAAACAAACAATTGTTCCTGACAGACTAACTCCCCATGGCTTCTCAAGTCAATCCACTCCAGGTGTTCCTTGTGAGGAGTGATGGGGCAACCTTCTCCCAAGTAGCCACACAGTCCTTCTCTGAGCTTGCTTATACTGTCTGTCCAGTCAACCATCTCCCCCAATGCTTGAGAGGCCTGGGACAGCATCAGCCTCAGACCCTGGCCTCTCAAGCATCCCAAGGGAGCTGTGCCATCCCCGTTGGATAGTCCCAGTTCCAACTACTACTACTACTCCGAACCAGGCTCTGATGGGACCATGACATGAGGATATTAGAAATGAAATCTTGAACTGGTATCTCGAGATTGTGATGACATGGAATGGATCAAAAAAGTTCAGATGTAATCCTAGAAAGACCAAATTGCTAGTGGTCAGTAGATATTTGGGCATTTTAATAGCCCCAGCCCCAGTATAGTAGTTATATTGGATGGGCTCATGCTTCCACCTCACAAAAAATGTGATTTGGAACATTTGTTTAGGGGATCCTTTGCCCAGCTTTCATTTATGCACCAGTTGAAGCTTAAGTGGACAGGATGATCTCAATTTTTGAATTCATATTTTGATCACCACTCAGTTGGAAGTGATCTGGAAGCTACTTTTGCAAAATATTGCATTGATTATTGGTGGACTTTTGGGTCTAGTTCATACAGTAGGTATGAAACCTACTTAAAACCCCAAATGGTATTGCAGCAAGATATTTCAGACAATGTCTTGCAAGAATTGAGTCTGCCTGTCTGAAAGAGATCCTGATTAAAGTTTCCTCCCCCCTAAGGTTCATGAAATGTAAGAATGGCATATCTTATATTTAATAGCTTCACTTTATGAAATGTTCTATAAATAAGTTAAAGCTGTTTTATTTCCTTGGGCTTTTGGTATCAGATGACTGATTATAGACATCCATTAAAAATTTTAACCTTCTGTGTGTTGTTGTTTTTTTATATATTGATTTGAATATAACTATTTTTAACTTCTGCTTTCTGTTGAGTGGAGTGGAGTGGAACAGAACAGAACAGAACTTTATTGTCAGTTTAAATATACACATCAGCATACATTAAAATGAAATTTTGTTGCATTCAGCTCTCAAAAAATAACCATTATGCATATACCAATATATACATGCATATAGTATATGACACAAAGCAATGTAACAGTCTAGTTCGAATGTATACATATACATGGCGAAAGAAAAAGAATCCTGCGAGTTTATAAGACAGATGGCATAAGGAACAAAGCTGTTGGTGTGATACATCATACAGACTCTTGGGAGTGGAGCAAGTTGCAAGTATTATAAATTAGAATAAATTAATTTGACATTCTTATAAGCAGCAAATGATCTGCTTTCAGTGTTCCTAAATTTCTGTGGTTGGAACAGGCATTGCCCACTAATTTATGGCTGAATTTCTCATTTAAAAGAAGGGCAGGTGCAGCTTCCATCCTCTTTTTGGTTAGATCTACATGCTGTGATTAATAATTTAATGAATAAGTGAATTAAATTTTAATTCTCTTTCTTGTTTTTCCTTCAGTAAAAAGTTAATTTCAAGACTGAAAATTGACAAATTTTGTTAAGCGAATTATTATCAATATTCTATAAATATGTGATGTTTATCTTTCAATACTCCAAGTTATGAATGTTTTCAAAAATTATAATAGTCCAATTTTTGATATAATATTAATATTAGAAAATATTGTTTTGGGTCTTTGCTTCTACACCTGAACTAGATAAAATATATTCAAGAAAGGACAGAAGTTTATAGTACTGAAGAGGAAGCAGTATGGATAGTCCTTGAGTTATAACTGTAAAGGAGTCTGCTCATTGATTGTGGTTGCAAGTTGTAATGGTCATAAAATGGATCAGTTATGTGATCAATCTGATTCTATAACATTTTTGAACCTGTCAAGTGGACATGGTGATCATTAAGCAAACCCCGTGGTCGTAAGAGAAACTATGATTTACTATAGTACAGTTTTGCCAAACTGGAGGTTTTCGACAAAAGTGTTGTAAAACACGGTCACGTACTATGGGATGCTGCAAATGGCTGTAAATGCAGCTGTGTTTGTGAGCAGACAAAGCGTGCTATTACACGGCTGCAGGGGAGCAACGAGCATTAGAACCTCTGGTCCAGGTCATAAGTCTCCTTTTCAGGTAGGTTGTAAATTCAAATGGCTGCTACGCAACCAGTCATAAACTGAGGACTGCCTGTGTAATTTAGCCATGACTAGACCCAATGCAAGCAGTAGAAGGGAGGGGAGATTAGTACATTGTAATTTATTGGACATCCTAAGAGAGGGGTTTTGTTAATATAATATGATAAAATATTTATTATCCTTTATGTTACTTGCCAGATGTTTGGGGGAGATTGTTAAAGTCATAATATAAATACCGGTAATTGTAATAAATAATATACAAAATAAAGTGAGGGTAGGAAACTTTCCTTTCTAAAAATAGGCCAGTCATTAGAAATCCTTGCTTTTATTGTTTCAGATGAACAGGAGGCTTTGAATTCTATCATGAAGGACTTGGTTGCCCTCCAAATGAGCCGGCGTCCCAGATTGTCTGGTTTTGATAGCATGAAGAACAAAGATACCCCACATTCCAATAGACAGGTAATATATTCCTGATAAGTAGAATCTTGTTTATCATACATATGTTTGGCTAGTAGAAACATTACTCAGGAATTAACTCCTTCAGTCACATTACCTTTCAGCAGCTAGACCCAGAGTTCTTAGCAATCTCAGTAACATATTTTACTCTGCTCCAATGCCTTGGAGAACCCAAAGATTCTATCATACTTGTTTTCAATTTGGAGGAGATGGTGTGTGTTATCAAAAGTAATTCAAGAGAGATGGATAATACTACTAGCATGTACTATGGTCAAGTTACAGCTGTGCCATTTTTGTTTTGATGTCCTGATCTTCTTTTCATAATTGTCCAATAAATTCTACATTGAGAGCTCTATAAAGCTCAAGAAATTGGGAATATTGCCATGATGGGAAATATTCCAGATATTAATTACTCCATTCTGCCCATGAATACCTCCACAGACACACAAATATCTTCCATCCCTCTCCATGCTCAAATACTTCCTACCAGTATACTTTCAAGGTTGTTTCACAAACATACTCTATCCATTCTACACACTCACCCCTGCACTTCTCATTCACATATCATACACCTTTGATTTTTTTCTCTTCTAAATAAATAATTGAGTTTTTTTCCCTCTTTAAGAAAAAACACAGTGCCAGCAACCCAAGTCTCCTAAACAACCTTATGATAAGAAAACAAAACAGTCTTGCAGCAGAGGAAAAAAAGTCACAGGTAAAAAAAAAAAAGTTTTCTAGTATTGACTGTTCAGCCAGTAGTATAGCTTTTACAATAGTGCAAATAGCATTAATTTGAAAGAACTAAAATGAAAAGCAGCATTTGAATTTCTCCAAATAGAAAAGCATATCTTAGTTTCATATCTTTTGTTATAGCCAAAAGTAAATATACGAGGGCTCTGTCTTGATAGAACTAATTATTAAAGGTAGAATGCAGGGTTTTATTCATTCATTCAATTTATGTGGCTGCCCCTATCACTGCAGGAATTCTGGGAAGTTAACATTATTATATAACATCAAACATTAATGACAGCCAGGGTACAAAACCAATTTGATATGTATGAAACAATAACAGACTCTAATTAACAGGCTGACTCTAATGCCTGGGAACACATCCATGTCTTTAAGGTTTTCTGAAAAGCAGGAGGGTTAGGGCCATGACACAAAAGACCTGCTTTCTGGATCCCACAAGGTGATACTTTTTAATTCATGGGCTAGTACCATGCCTCTCCTAAATCTACAGGATGGTTAGAAACAAAAGAGGTCCTATAAATAACCTGGCCCTATATCATGACAAGCTTTGTGAGGGACAGACAGACTCTTGGATTGCACCTAGAAACACATTTGATATCCAGTATAGCTAATTGTAAAAGTGTAACGTGAGTGCACCACAATACATAACTGCCAACACTGCTACATTCTGAACCAGTTATAGCTTCTGGATACTGTTTAAGAGCAGCCGCATCTAGAGCATATTGTAGAATTTGGTTAGAATGCAGCATTGCAGGCTGATTGCAGGCTAATTCTGCTGACTGCCAGAGTTCGATTCTCACTGGCTCAAGGTTTACTCAGCCTTCCATTCTTCTAAGCCTGGTAAAATGAGGACCCAGATTGTTGGGGGCAATATGCTGACTCTGTAAACCGCTTAGAAAGGGCTGTAAAAGCACTATGAAGCGGTATGTAAATCTAAGTGCTATTGCTGCAAAGTTAGAGTCATGAGAAGATAAGGAGATAGGGAATAGAGAAGATGAGAATAATGATGGAAATACTGCCTTTCTAGATAGTTTGATAGTGTTGTGGGAATTAGTTGTTTAATAAATAAATAATTATTTAATTAATAAATAATCAGAACTCCTTCAGACAGTTACTTGTGCCCTGGTGATTTCATGACTAGATTATTGCAGTGTATTCTATATGGAGTTTCTCTTCCATCCAGAAGCTGCAACTTCTGCAATGGTGCAAACAGTATCCAGGCACTTTTGGATATGTCCATGTGTCACTGCTGCTATGAAATCTGCATTGGTTGCCAGTCAACTTCCTAGTACAATTCAAAGTGCTGCTTATTACCTATAAAGCCCTGCATGATTTAAAGTCTAGATACCTGAGAGTCTGTCTGTCTCCAATTATCTCTGCCCACTTGGTGCATTCCGGAAGAGTGGTCTGCTCCACATCCCTACTATTAAACATTGTCACCTTAGGTATTCAGGAAGTAAACCTTCTCTGTTTTAATCCCTGCCCTTTGAAGTAGATCCCACAGGCAGTAATCTTCCTCCTGGCATTCTGGAAGGCTCTTAAACCTGGCTTTGGTCTCAAGTCTAGAACAATGTATTTTGGGGGACCCTGTTGTGGTTTCTTGTTATTACAATTGTTTTAGCCTGGCCTGTTTGTATATGATTTTAATTGTTTTTATTGGGTTCTATGCTGGGCGACTAGTAACAAATGTAAACTATAAAATATCCTCTGAGATACTTTTATTATAAACTGAATAAAAAAATATCAAAGTATTTAATAGGCAATATGAATCATTTTGTTTTGGCAGAGTGACATCAGGATAAAGTTTGAACATAATGGGGAAAGGCGGTAAGATTTTGATTTATTTTTTTTTGTTTCTTTGTTTCTTTTGTACATACCTTACTGCAATTCAGATATACAGTCAGGATTGTATATATTGGAACAATGATAAGCTTTTTAGCATTTGGCCTCAGTACCAGTGGTGGGTTAGCCCCTGGTTCACACCAGTTCTATAGAACCGGTAGTAAAACTGATGGGAGGCTCTGCCCACCGACCCTGACGTCATCAAAATGCATGCACAGAAACTTCTGCGCATGCGCGCGGCCCTGTTGCAAACCAGTAGTAAAGGTAAGTAGAACCCACCCCTGCTCTGTATGCCACCACATTGTGTTTGAAATGGAAACCCTCAAGATATGAATGAAGGGAAAACTTCCAGTTTTAATTCATGGGGTTTGACAAAAGTGTGGCATTAACTCTTGAGAAATTACAGCTATTTTAATACACTCACTCCCATTTTTGGTGGCTTATAAATAAAAAACTAACATAACTACAAATACAAGGATTGTTTTTAATACTTGGATGAAAATTCTTTGCAATCAATAAATGCCTTAATTTCTGGAACCCAAGCATATGAAAAACGCTGAATTTTCTCCTTTGAGATACTTTACTGCAGTTGCCTTCAGCTGTTGTTTGTTTGTGGATTTTTCTGTCTTCAGTCTTGCCTTCAGTAAGTGAACCTTCTATTGCACCGAGATCAGGTGACTGACTTGGCCAGTGAAGAATATCCCTTTTTTGCCTAGAGAAACTCTTGGGTTGCTTTTGTTATATATTCTGTGTCATTATCCATCTACAATATGAAGCGGCATGCTATTAGTTTTGCAGAATTTGACTGAATCTAAGCAGAAAATATAGCCTTGTACACTTCTGAATTCATGCTCCTATTTTTATCAGCAGTCAGGTTATCAATAAATACCAGTGACCTGGTTTCAGTGGCAGCCATACGTGACGCTGTGATAACATGGCCTCCACCATGTTTGACAGATGATGTGGTATGTTTTGAATCATGAGCTGTTCCTTTTCTTCTTCAGACTTTTCTCTTCCCATTCCTTCTGGTACAAATTAATCTTCATTTCATTAGTCCAAAGAATCTTATTCCAGAATTGGGCAGCTTTTTTAGATGGCAAAGTCTTATCTGGCCTTTATCTTCTTGAGTGTTACCATTGCATTTGATTGTAGACATTGACAATAATGTGCCTGTCGCTTCAAGAATGTTCTGGACTTGGCTTGACATTTTTCTTCACTATTGACAGAATTCTGTGGTCATCCATTTTAGTGGTCTTCCAGGCCTTTTAGCAGCGGTGAAATCCGGCCGGATCTATCTGGTTCGCACGAACCGGTAGCACCAGCACGGGAGGCTCCGTCCACCCACTGGGACACCATTACATCCCATTTTTTACCCTCTGCACATGCGCAGAAGGTTCTGCACATGCACAGAGGAAGCTCACACAAGCATAGCACACACGCTCACATTCCCGAACCGGTAGCAAAGGTAAATGCATTTCACCACTGCTGTTTAGTGTTGCTGAGCCTGCCAATTAATTCCTTCTTTTTAAGAACGGCAAACTGTTGTTATGGTCACTCCCAATGTTTTTGCTATCTCTCTGTTGGATTCATTTTATTTCTTTCAGCCTAACAGTAACCTCTTTTACTTGCATAGACCTCTTTTTGAACCGCATATTGATTGTGTGTGTGTGTGTGTGTGTGATTTCTCAATGATTAACAGTTGCACTTTTGTCAGGCCTCTTGAATTAAAGCTGAAAGTCTTCACTTTGCTCACATCTTGAGTGTTTCATTTCAAATTCAATGTGTGGAGTACAAGAGACCAAATGCCAAAAAAACCCTTTCAGTGTCCTAATATAGACTAACCTGACTATTGCAGTTATCTTGTGTCGGATCTGTAATGAAACTTTTGTTTTTTTTTCCCTTTACAATTAAATAATTAAAAAGTACATAAATAACAGAATCCAAAGTGGAGGGACTGCCTGTAAAAATAAAGTAGTGAGAATTTATGAATATTAGCAAAGGATGGTTACGTTAGCAATTTAGAAGGAAGGAAGAAAAAGGAGGAAAAAAGTTTGATACACTGTCCAAACCATTTTGTTACATGAACTATCTAGAGCCCACTTTGCTGCCATAATCAGTATTTTGGTGTCCCATCCAGAATTATTCCCTTTACCCGGCCTGTCCGCTATGAAGATGTTCAGCAGAAAGTGAAAACAGCTTTTGGGCAGCCACTGGATCTCTACTACATGAATAATGAGGTAGTAACTTACACTATATAGTGTGTTTTTATTCCTTTCTAAAAGGGTTAAGTTTAGTTCAAAAAAAAAAAAGGAAAACAAAAGGCTGTGCAAGCAACTTAGAAGTAAATGCTTTTGTTTCAGGAGCAATCACAATAAAAGTATCTTCTGTACGTGCAAGTGCCTGCTCAGAAAGTGTAAGACTGTGGCACCAAAAACCACCCCTCCAAATAGTATTTGTGATTCTTGAAAATGATTTCTACAGCTCCAGTTTTCTGAAAAATTGTATTGACTTTAACTGAGTCTGAGTCTGAAATAATTTCAGTTCCTAATTTTCAGACAGATAACTAATTATGTTTACAGTATCTGTCAAAAACAAGATACTCTGTTTCATTAAAGGGAATTTTACTAAAGAGAATAATTAATTTTCAAATAAATGGAACAATTGAGAGGATCACTACATTAATTATCCTTTCAGGAAATAGGAGTGATTGGAACCAATCAGTTTGCAGTTGCCTGCCTATATTGAATGTCCTCCAAATGTGTTGGGAATTTATCTGCTTTTTACATTTTGTAAAATTTAATAAAATTATTATGAAACAGATTCCCTTCTAGCATATATAGTTCAGATAATACAGAAAGTGTCAAGTTGAAGAAGTCTGCTTCACTTATTGGGGAAAAAAAGTATAATTGGATAATACATGGAAACCAACTTGAAAATTTGAAATTACTAAACTGATTTTTAGTATTAAAATTAATTTCATTTCTTTCTCACTGTTCTTACAATAAATTCAAAGGAATAGAAGTTTTTCTGGATATCAGGGAAATGCATGTAGAAATAATTGTTAAAAAGGTAATATTCCTTCATGCAAAATAAATGCAGTTTGAAATATATCTGAAGGAATAGTTTCGCTATTTTATAGCTTATATATGTTTTCCTTACATAAATTCTGTTATTGCAAATCCATATAGCATAGTTTAAGGGTCAGTATTGCTTTGCTGTCCCCTTGTTCAACAAGTGGTCCCTTGTTGCTATTCAGAATTTAAAATGGAATGAACCTTTACGAACTCTTTTGTCTCTATTTATTCTTTGCAGTTATCTATTCCTTTGAAAAATCAAGATGACCTTGATAAGGCAATAGATCTGTTAGACCGAAGCTCAAATGTGAAAAGCCTTAGAATATTACTGCTGTCTCAGGATAAAAATCATGTGAGTAAAAGCAATATAATATATTTCAGTTTCACATTTGTTGTGATTGTCACAACAAATTATTGGTCATTAACTGGTATTAGTTACTGACTTACTAAAAGATTCTTTACTACACTGCTTAAAGCAGAAACAAAGTATCACATAATTTCTTGGTCTTCCATCCTATTTCTGGCCATCACTGAATGTTCATCTTGAAGTTGTTTGTAAGGAAATTACAGGTTGTGATAAACCCCCAAATATTGGCATGGTATGAATTCCTGGCTAGAAAGCAAGGAAAGTACTTTTTACGACAAATATTGCATTGATTGATTGATTGATTTAAAGTTTTCTTTCCATGATCTTCCACATGTGTTGTGTTGTGATCTTCAGTTCATATATACATACACACACACACACACACACACACACACACACACACACACATATATATATATATATATATATATATATATATATATATATATATATATATTTAAAAAGTTTTAACAATCATTACAACAATTTTCCCCCATCCCACCCCTCCATCCCCCCTCTCCCTCCAACCCCCCTCCCCCCACCCACCCACCCCGGACTTCCCAGAGCAAAAACAGGTATAGCATAACAACATAAACTAAAATAATCTAATTTTCTGTAGTGTCCAAACTCCCCCTTGCTCTTTAACTCCCCCTTCAACTAACTAAAATATTCAAAAAGGAAATATAGGTTTCATTCATAAGCTATTTGTAACTTTTTTGTCCGATATTTGTTTTGAATATAGTCAATCCATCTTCTCCATTCCGATATATATCTTTCATTTGTATGGTCCTTCAAATACGCTGAAATTTTGGCCATTTCTGCTAAATTTGCTAATTTTAGCGTCCATTCTTCAATAGTAGGCAAATCTTCCTTCTTCCAGTACTGTGCCACCAAGAGTCTGGCTGCTGTTATTAAATTTAAAATCAACTTAGTATCTATAACAGTACAATCTGTAATTATGCCTAACAGAAAAAACTGTGGAGTAAATTTTATCTTCTTTTTGAGAATATTTTGAATAATCCACCATATTTTTATCCAAAATGCCTTAATTTTTTTACATGTCCACCATATATGATAATACGTAGCATCATCACATTCACATCTCCAACACTTAGGTTGCACACTTGGATGCATACAGGCTAGCTTTTTAGGATCCAGATGCCATCTATAAAACATTTTGTAAAAATTCTCTCTTAAATTTTGGGCTTGCGTGAACTTCACATTTCTGACCCATATTTTTTCCCATGTTTCCATCATTATTGGTTCTTCAATATTTTGTGCCCACTTTATCATACAGTCCTTAACTAACTCCGTTTCTGAATCTATTTCTAGCAACGCATTATACAACCTTTTTATATGCATTTGACTTTGATCTCTAATCTGTTTTACCAAATTTTCCTCATTTTGCAGAAAATCAATTTTCTGATCTTCTCTTCATCTAGCTTGCAACTGTACATATTGAAACCATGTTCGAATTGTCCTTTCTTCTCTTACTTGATTCAGAGATTTTAATTGTAGTATACCTCTTTCCTTGTTAAGAAGCTCTTTATATGTAATCACATCCTGCCTTTGCTCTACACTTATATTCTCTATCGCGTGTCTGGGTATTGCCCACAATGGTAACTTCTCGTTTAGTTTATACTTGTACTTTTTCCAGACACGCAATAGAGCATTCCTTAATATATGACTTTTAAAAGTCTTGTCCACTTTCTTATCATATAATAAATAAGCATGCCACCCGTAAACCAAATCATATCCCTTAATATTCAATATTCTTTCTTCTGTTAAATTCATCCAATCACTCATTGCTGATAGAACAGCTGCCTCATAATAAAGTCTTAAGTTAGGCATTTTGAGTCCTCCTCTTTCACGTGTATCCTGTATTATTTTTTGTTTTATTCTCGGTCTCTTCCCTGCCCAAACAAAATTATTAATACCCTTCTGCCATATCTTCAAATTCTCATCTTTAAGTATTGGTATCATTTGAAAAAGGAACAAAAATTTAGGCAAAACATTCATTTTTACTACTGCTATTCTTCCTAGCAAGGATAATTGTAATTTAATTAGACCTACAACCAACTGTAATGGTTGGGTTAAAGTAACAACCAAGTCATCTGCGAATGCTCGTAATCTATAGTCATACATAATTCCACTTATTTTGTCCGACCCACGTATCTTACTTAACAAAAATTCCAAAGTCAGAATAAACAATAATGGAGACAAAGGGCATCCTTGTCTTGTTCCTTTTTCTATATTAAAAGTGTATGTTAAACTACCATTAATTATTATTTGCGCTGTTTGTTTCTGATATATTGCCTTAATAGATTTTGTGAAATGTTCCCCAAACTGCATCTTTTCTATTATTTTCAATAAAAATTGCCAATTCAATCGATCAAATGCTTTCTCTGTATCAAGAAATATCAGCACCGCAGGGATTTGGTTGTTCTTCCCCAAATACTCCAATAGGTTAACAACTTACCTTACATTACTCTTCATTTGTCTACCATTTATAAAACCAGTTTGATCATTATGAATCATTTGTTGCATGACTGTCATTAACCTATTTGCTAATATTTTAGCAAAAATCTTGTAATCTGTATTTAAGAGTGATATGGGCCTATAATTTTTTGGCTGGGTATGGTCTTGCTCCTCCTTTGGAATCAAATAAATATAAGCTGTCCTCCAAGATGGGGATACATCTCCTCCAGATTGTATATTAGTAAATAATTCTTTAAATGGTCCCACCATTTCTAACTGCAAATGTTTATAATAAGCAGCTGTCAAGCCATCTGTCCCAGGAGCTTTATCCATTTTCAACTGCTTAATTGCAGACATAATCTCCTCAGTAGTTATTGGTTGATTTAAACCCTCCCTTTGCTCTTTTGTAATTGTAGGAATATACTCTTTCTGTAGGTATCTATCTATATCTGTACCTTGAATTTTATCACCAGCATACAACTCGTATAAAATTCTAAAAATGCTTTTTTAAGCATATTTTGCTGATAAACCTCTTTACCTTTATATTCTATTTTCTCTATGGTCCGTGACTTTTGCTTTTTCCTTAACAAATATGCTAACTACCTCCCTGGTTTATTAGCATTACAAAAAGTATTATGTTTAGCATATTGCAAATTAGTTGCGACCTGATCTGCCATTAACATATTAAATTGCCCAATAAAAGAGGCAATAAATTAATTGCCTCTTTTATTTTCTTATCTGCTGGATTCAATATCAAAGCTTGTTCTTTTTTCCTGATTTCCTCTTCTAAGTCCTTCCTTTTTTTTCCTGTTTATGTCTATATTTATTATTCAGATATATCAAAATGCCTCTCATATATGCTTTACTTGCATCCCATACCATTTCCATAGATGTACCCTTATGCATATTTATAATAAAAAATTCTTTCATAAATGTTTTACATTCTTTTACATTTTCCTCATATCTAAACAAATTTTCATTTAACCTCCAAGACCTCTTAGAGCCCCTTCCATACTCTAATTCCATTCAGACTGGACTATGATCGGTTAAAACTCTTGGACAAATCTTCATCTTCTTCACTCTGGAAAAGAAATCATTTGTAATTAATATAAAATCAATCCTTGAGAAAGATTGATGTCTATCAGAAAAAAAGGTAAAGTCTTTTTCTTCGGGGTTTGTCTCTCACCAGATATCTCTCAGTTCCATGTCCTCCATCATTTCAAAAAACGATTTTGGCAATCTAGCACGTATTGAAATGTTCAGCAAGAGCCCCTTCTTATCTTTTTTAGTGCCCAAAACTCCATTCCAGTCGCCCAATAAAATACATGATTTATAATCCCATTGTAATAACTTGGAATGTAAAAGCTTATAAAATTTTTCCTGTTGTTGGTTCGGTGCGTAGACTCCAATTAAAAGTATTTTTTCTCCTTTTATTAACAGTTCAATTGCTAAAAATCTTCCTTGATCATCTGCTTCAATTAATTTGGCAATTAAGTCTTTTTTTAGGTATATAACTATACCATTCTTCTTCTCAGGAGCAGATGCAACAAAATGTATACCTAACCTTGCATTTATTAAATATTTTTTATCTTTACTTCTAATATGAGTCTCTTGTAAACAAATTACATCATTTTTAAACTTTCAAATAATGAAATATTTTTCTCCTCTTTTGTGGTGAATTTAGGCCATTAACATTCCAGGTCAAAAATCTAGTTGCCATTCTTGGCTCTCTGAAGCACTTGGAGCATCTGCTGGAAATCTCCATGCATTTTACTTTTTGGCTTTGCTCCTCCCACTGCTTCTGTTTTTGTAGTATCTTGAATCATTTGAAGTTGCTGCACTCTTAATTCTTCTTGACGTTTGGCTGCCGCTCGAGTCTGTCTTTGATCCTTAGGTTCTTCTATCTCCAAAGCTTGAACAGTAGTCGAAAATTGTATTAATTCTTCTTGAATAATCAAATCACCCTTTTGGGCCTGTACCAACAATTCTTCTTTCTCCCCTTTCTTGCCCCATCCATTTCCGTCTTCCTTCTAGCTTCCTGGGACTGAGGGCATCCAGCCTTTAATACATTGGTATAAAAATCTCTTGCCTTCCACACTGAATTGAGACGGTATCTTTCTCCTGAATAATTCACCACTAAACCAGCTGGAACTTCCCATCTATACTGTATCTAACGGTATCTCAATTCTTCCACCAGAAAGGCATAACCCTTTCTGGCTCTCAACATTTTGGGGGGAATTTCTTTCAGTGTTAAAACCTCCTGCCCCTGCACTTGAAGTTTGTTTTTAAAAGTGACTTGTAGGATTTCATTGTGTAATCTCCTTGTTGTAAAATAAACTACAGTGTCTCTTGGTAGATGTTTCTGTCTGGCCACCCATGAATTGACACGATAAATTTTGTCAATTTGCCATTCTAAATTTGCTTTTTGATCTTCCATTATCTGTGCAAATGCTTCTGAAAAGATCTCTCTCAAATTCTCTTGCTTATTTTCCTTGAGGCCTCTTATTCTCAGAGCAAATTCCATGTCTCTATATTGTATCATTATCACATCCGCCTCTGCTCTTTCCCTCTTGTCCCCCATTTTATTTTCCAAGTTCTCATTAGACTGCTTAATTTCTTCCACTTTTTCATCTATTGCTTCAATGTGTTCTGCCAATCCTTGTACTGCCATAATAATATCTTCTCTAATTTCTTGGTTTCATTTTTGAATAGTCTCTTTGACCTGTGCAATTTCTTCAGCAACTTCTCGAGTTTGCTCCTGAAACATTGAAGCAATTTTTGTTTCTGTAACAGAGGCTTGTGTTTTGAGGGCTTCCTGCAACATTTCAAATGTTAATATTGTTGGTTCCGTTGGAACAGAGAGAGATTGCAATCTGGACGTTTGAGCTGGTGAAGTCCCAGCACTTTTGGGGACAATAGTCTTAATTTGTTTTGAAGCCATTTTTAGTTTCCAATTTAAATTCAGTCAACTGCCAGAACTGTAAATCCACCAAATCCAGAAATCAGTCTTTAAATAATATCAGTCCTTTTTTTTTTTTTAAGGATCACTGCTGTAATCTCTAATCATCTCCTTTTTTAAAAAAAAAAACACAAATCTCTAATTTTAGACAGGGGCTGCCAACACTAAAAGAAACTTTCCTTTTTAACTTTCGCTTTCACGCCCCATTAAAGCACAATCGCCATCTTGGTTTCACTTAGTCCCCTTAATAAATCAGAAGGAAGTAATATACATTTGGAGTTAAAGTTCAGTACTTGCAGATCTCATCTCTCCTGAGTTTGCTCAGCCTGCTTCCAAATTATGTTTATTCAAGCGTTGTTTGCAGGGGTGGTTGCGGTGTCTTCTTCTGCTTGAAGCAGAAATGTCCCTGATCCGGAGCTCTGTCGGGCTTCCAGGGAGCTCTCAGCCTTCGAGCCCCAGAATTGTTCCTGGGGCTCCTTGGGGAGCTCTACCTACGCCCGTATGCTCTCTTCCTCCCCTTTTCCCAGGGAGAAAGTTTTCAAGCCACTAGACAGCTGCTTTGTGCTGTTCTAGCGGCTTTACGAGATCGCAGGGCTGGCGCTCAAGGGAAGAGCGTCCTCGGTGTCTGCGGTGCCACCGGAAGTCCCATACATACATATATTTAAAGCCTTATTAAGTTTTGAATCTCTTAATAATTTAACTGTTAATTCTATATTGTAGAATGCATTTGTTTGATTTCATTCACTTTTTTGTTTGCTGATTACATTAATTTTAGGATTTATGAGAATTATAATCTCCAAAATCTCGAGGATAGTAGATAAATTCCTCTTATCATAATAGAATTAACTTGGCAATATAAATGTTAAAATAATTTAAAATCTAGCATTTGATTACATATCTCTCTGTTTAAAAAAGTAATTTTTGCTTGCTATTGAAAAATGCAATTTTTACTTATAAGGGCTACAAGCATTTTACCAATTGCTCCTACTAGTGCCTTCCAAATTCAGATAATATTTAGACTGTAAAATACGGAGAATTCTGTTTTAGAATACCTTTGAACCTCAGTTTGAATTTATTTATACTTAATAAAATAAAATATATAAACTTGCAGATATATCATGGGATCTTTGCTAAGAATATATCCCTCATTAATTTTAATGTTATAGTGAGGAATCCTTAGTAAATGTAGTTAGTTCTGCACTCAGAATGTGCAAGGCCTTTTGTAAATACTTTGTGCATTGTCTTGTCAGGTCTTTAACAAGTTGTAGGCTATAACTCAGATCCAGACTTTCATAGCACTCTAGTTTTGGTTCCTATCCAGTATTTGTCTAGCTCAAAATTAATATTCTGAATTTACCATGATGTAATTTAGCCCCCTGGTACAGATAGGAATAACCATTTTGATTTTACTTTTAGTCACAGATTAATAATGCCATTCTGCTTATTTTTTTCATTCTTGTCATTGTTTTAAAACTAAAACATTCTAATCTTCAAATCCTAAATTGTTTAAATCTTACTGGTCTCACTTTGTTTTTAACAGATCAGTCTCTCATCCCATGCAGGGATGCCAAAGCAAGTCAGAATCAAAACTTCCCAATCTACGGGAGATGTAAACACTGCCTACCAGCCACTTGAAACCCGAAGCAGACACCTGTCCATTAGTGAGTGTATTAATCTGTCACTGTATTAATGACCATAAATAATGTTGAGCTCTGCAAACCTTTGATTTGTGGCTTGTTATCTTCATGTCCTATTATTAGCTACCGAACTGTACTCAGCTCCTGGACAACTGTGTGCATATAATCCTTTTCTTAGTCCCCCCCCCCCTTATGCTATAAATTCTAACTTTCTTTTTTCATTCTATATATACATGCACTTTTTCCTTCTTCGCATCTCTACTATTAATAGTTATATGAACTAAAAATTAATAGTTATATGAACTAAAAATTATGCAGCTATTTCCATCCATATCCATTCTGAATTGCATCCATAAAAGTTCAAAAAACAGAACAACTCCTTTCCTTGCCGTCTGTTTCCTTTGCAGTTACTGTTCTATTCATAACTTCCTGTCTTCCAGTGCTAGCTTTGTGAATTTTATTTAATTTCGTATGATATCATATCTCTCATCCATAGCATATGTACAAAAATATAAAGCAATTAAATCATTAACTATAATGCCCTTTGAAGAGCATTCAGTTACATGTCAGATTTGTGGAGATACCAGGAGTGTAGTCCTGCCTTGTTATTTGGGCACAGTTCCAACCTATTGAACCTGAGGAAATGGACAGAGCTCTTATGTCTATGAACTTGAACATAAAACTTTTAAGCTTTATACTCCTCTTTGTTGACTAAGACTGCCTTGGAGATGGACCTTGGAGGTTCATTCTTGAAGAAGGGAGTTGTCCCTCTGCTTCTTAAATGTAATTTTTATTGTCATATTTCCCCCTTTTTCCATTTACAAAGTCACAACACACTGCATTGTCAGAATGTTGCTTAAATTATCATCAGGTGAATCACACATACAAAATCTTTTAAATGTCTTTCTTATTGTAAGATCCATTGTTCAAACCATATTCCTAATGTTGGCCCACTGATCTTCTATCCACTAACAGTCGTGCTTGTATTTTGCTTGAAATGCTTCAGTAAAATGTATCACTTCCTTTTCAGCTGTCCTTTATCTTGTGCAGCCATTTAATAAGCATCATTAAATCTTCAGGCTCTCAGAATACAGGCCGAAGTTCACCCCCGCCAGGATATGTCCCAGAGAGACAGCAGCGAATTGCTCGCCAGGGGTCCTATACCAGCATAAACAGTGAAGGAGAATTTATACCAGAAACCAATGAACAAAATGTAAGTTAAAAGCTCAAAGAATTTATCAGTATAAAAATATTTATACAATATACAGATACCAACATAAAAAGTGAGATTAAAAATATGTTTAAAAAATAAAGCCTGCAATTTCCATTGATTTCCTCAATTGAGCTTCTTATATGCTACATAGCAAATTGTCTTACATTCAAACAGATCAAAGAGAACCAGTAATCTTTCTTCCTCCATACTATATTAGCACTCATGCCAATTGGCAATAGCTCTCTCAATATCAATTGAGTTTCTCTTATTTTGCATCAAGGATGTATCTTTTTCTTCATACCAGTGGCTACATTTGACATTTGATAGTGTGTTGGGAGTCATTTACTTCCAGAAAGTGGATTGAATTTGGATTAAAATTAGATTGGATTTGGTTACTTAAATGCAATTAAGGTGAGTATGTCCTAGATATTTACAGTAACAATTATAATTCAGCATCAGCTTTGGAAAGTGGAAACTACAGTCAGATTTTTAGGAAGCCATATAAGGCTTTGGGCTTCAGAGCAAACACTATCTTATGTGGTGATGCCAAATCTCAAACATGGGATCTTCTGCATGTTACATAATTGTCTTACTAGAGAGCTACAGGCCCTTCATTTTATATAGTATTAACTTTTTAAACATGCTTTAATCTTAGCTTAAGGAATTGATTCTTTGTTTTCTCATAGAAATGTTGACATGCTGGGGATCATTTGTATATTGCAAGTGGAGGGTATTGGTTATATACAACTAGGAAATTCATATATCATTAGGGAGGTCCTCCCAAGCTCCAGTTTCTTCCCTTTTCCCTTTAAGCCAAGTGATCAATATTATCAATCGGAGATAAGAGTCAACATAGTTTTTACAATTACCTGTAATGGGAAAATGTCACTCTATATTTGATAGCAAAATTCAGGAGACTCTTCATCCCTCTGGATGACATGCCAAAAATTGCTGGGTTCACATATTAAGATTCTGTGATCTCCTTTTTTGTTTCTCCCTGTGATCCTATTCAGTATGCTTTGAAGAGATAAACTGCATTGATATCAGGAAGAAGAAAATCTCTAGGTTTCTGAGGTTGACTGTCATTTAAACCTGACAGTATTACATAGTGTTGTTAGGAGAGAACTTCTCTCCCATTGCTAGGAGATACATTACTTCAAGGTTGTTGAGAGACAACGTAAGCCACAAGTCTCCTTTCTTCTTCCCATCAGTTCAGTACTTCTGCTTAAGTTGTTAGAAGGGAAGAAGAAACTTAGTCCTTCTCCTCTTCCTGTCTCTTAGCACCATTGACTGGAAAAATGTGTATATGTTGAAGAAATGGATGGGAATGCATAAGTCTACCCCCTTCCCCTCAGGAACCAGTGAAAAAACGTTTTGACTTGGGTATCAAATTGATTGCTACTTACAGGCTATAGTTTTTCTTATGGTGATATTTCTATTAATAATAGATGGAAATACTATCAATTGAGCATGTGGCTGATTCTAAAAAAAAGTCCCACATAGTTAATCTTTGTCAGTTTTAATGAAATTAATTAAAAATCTCTTAATTCAATTTTGCATTCTGTCCTTTCAGCTGTAGGCTAAATTTAATTTAGCTTTTTGTAATCTTCTGTTCTAGATGTTGGATCCCTTAAGCAGTGCTGAAAACTCCCTATCTGGTAGCTGTCAGTCCTTGAGCCAGTCAGGAGAAAGGTATTGACAGTAAGAACTATCGATAGGAATTCTGTAGTAATTTCAACTTTTTTCCATTACTTTAAATACTAAAGTATTAATATTTAACTATATTGCCTATATGGTAAGGCTGAAAATATAGAGGAGGGAAATAAGATAGAACATAATAAACATATCCTTGTCAGACTTTTGAATTCTTATGTTTATTTTCATTAAAAGTCTGTTAGTTGAAATACTTAAAATCCTGGCTAAAATCCCAGTTTAAAATCCTCCAAAATCCCAACAAAACACTTTGTAAGGTCTTTTGAAACTCTGGCTAAAATCCTAACCAACATTTTAAAAGTTTTCTTTTTGGCAATGTTTCGACAAGCTCTCTAACTTGTCATCATCGGGCCCCAGTTTCAGTTTAGAAACTGTAGGTATGTTGCAAGATCGGAGTTGTCGCTTTTCTATGTTTGCTGCTATTGACGTATGCCGGTTAGCCTGCAACTCTGTGTCCTGATTGGAGGGCAGCAGTTTTTTCTCCTGCTTCATTATCCTAGTTGCAGCCTGACTGTGTGTTAAAGGCCCAGCTTTCTCTGGTTCCCTATTACTAACTGTCAATTGCAAAGAAGGATTCTGGTAGGCATCACAACACCGCTGATTGCCTGTTGAGATCTCAGCCTATCTTCTGGCTCGGTTCTCTCTCTCTCCCTATTGCTAGCTATCATCTGCAAAGAGGGAAGGACTCTGGCAGGCATTACAACACCACTGGTTGCCTGTTGGGATCTCTGCCTATCCTCTGATGTTAAAACTTGAGTTTCCCTCAATGCAGGTCTCCAAATACTTGATAACCTAGAAGTGTCATCTTGTCTATTCATATTCTGCAGCCTCTTTTCAATTTAAATAGCCTCCCTAATTATTCTCTTAATAAGATGTTCTTCTTTCACCACTGTTCTAGTATTGTTGAAGTCGATATTATGTCCTGTGGCCTTCATGTATAGTACCAAGGAAGAAGTTCGCTCTTCTTTTTTCACTGCGTTTTTGTGTTCTTCTAAATATATATATATATTTGTTTTCGTAGATTTTCACGGGTAGAGGTATGCAAGTTTTGGTGTATTCGGGTCTTTTCCCGTGTAAGATTGATAGTGTCTTGGCGACGTTTCGAGGTCCCACTCGTTATCTTCAGGCTAGTGTCTTCGGCTTCACGCTAGTGCGAGGAAAGCGTGATTGGAGCTGCCGTCTCTCTATAAATACTGGTAGGGAGGTGTGGGGTGCTGGCTTTGTTGCTGTGAGCAGGTTGGTTGGCTGTGTTGTTACATCTTGATTAGTTGATGGAGTTGATGTTTGCAGATTAGTCGGCTGTTTTGTAACATCCTATGTGGGTGAGGTCCTTGATGTGTGCCCATTAGTCTTTTGTGTTTTAACGACCTGGGTAATGGGGTGTGTGTTAACATCCTGAGTTCTAGTGTTGTGATATCCTGAAGTTTTTTGATGTAATGTCCTGAGCAGATGGTTGTGATGGCTGACATACACCATGAACACATGACAAGACTTCAAACTCAGAGCCAAACCAAAGCTCGGGATGTGGCATCACAGCCATCTGCTCAGGACATTACATCAAAAAATTCAGGATATCACAACACTAGAACTCAGGATGTTAACACACACCCCATTACCCAGGTCGTTAAAACACAAAAGACTAATGGACACACATCAAGGACCTCACCCACATAGGATGTTACGAAACAGCCAACTAATCTGCAAATATCAACTCCATCACCTAATCAAGATGTAACAACACAGCCAACCAATCCGCTCACAGAAACAAAGCCAGCACCCCACACCTCTCCACCAGTATTTATAGAGAGACGGCAGCTCCGATCACGCTTTCCTCGCACTAGCACGAAGCCGAAGACACCAGCCTGAAGATGACGAGTGGGACCTCGTCTAAACGTCGCCAAGATACTATCAAGCTTACACGGGAAAAGACCTGAATACACCAAAACTTGCATAATTAAAAATAAAATAAAATGTAACAAGAACATCACACAGACAGAACGCGTTGGAAATCATGCCTTTCTAACACGTAACATTGTGTTCTTCTATTCCATTTTTCAAAATAGCCTTTCATTCCGAAAATCCTGCATGTCCAGAGCCCAGAGCTTTCCAGATAATAGGCAAGATTTCTCAGGTGAGATGTTATCTACACTGATAGTTGCTGGCAAATAAAAGGAACTAGAGAACTTTCATATTTCAGTTGTAGGTTTACTGCATTTACTTTTTGCTAAACAAAAATGTTTACATGTGCAGTTAGTATGTTTCCATCAGATGTTAGCAACCACCTGCAATAGAGTAACAGAGATGGTTGAAAAACTAAATTATTCCTGTATTTCTGATTCATTTTTTACTGTAACAGTTTGAATCTAGTGATTAAGAATCATTTTGGTCTAGTGGTTAAGACACTTGACTAGAAAGTGGGAAACCTTTCAAGTTTTTTTTAAGGGAGATCTTTAAGAAAAGACTGTCCATCCCGTCTCTCCCCCCATCCAGTCTGACACCCCTGATATAGGGTCTCCTGCTTGAGCATGGGGCTGGACTAGAAGACCTCCAAGACCCCTTCCAATTCTGTTATTCTGTTTATTCTGACCTTGAGTCAAGTGCTGCCTTAGCCATGAAAGCCAGGTGGTTGACTATGGGCATTGGGCCAGTCACTCTCTGAGCAGGGTTGTTGTTGTTGTGGGGAAAATTGGAGAAGGAAAGTGTGTTGGATATGTTCATTGCTTAGATAGGTAGTTGGATGGATGGGTGGGTGGATAGGTGGACAGACAGACGTGTGAAACCTGAACTCTCCGACGCCAAGCCTCCCACTTCACCTCCCATGGACCTCCTTTGGAGGTCTTCTTCCCATGGAGAAGTTAATTATTTCTCCCTTTTTTTCTCTCTTCATACCACCTGTGGCAAAATATATTTTTCTAAAAGGGTCTCTGTGTGGATGCATGTTTGATAGTGTAACATTTTTGCTTCTTTATTGTAGATCGTGAGAATCAAATCTTTGATAAAGCTGAAAAAGGTGGGACCTACCCTCGGCGTTACCATGTCTCTATGCAGTACAAAGATTACAATGATGGTGGGTGTGCAATGCCTTTTTAAACTTAATAATAGGATTACTACTTCACAACACTCTCTATAAAAGCTTTCTGTTTCACCTGTTGCCAACCCCTTTTCTCCCCTCATCCTTTTTTAAATAGCTTGAAAATACGAGGAGGAGGAGGCATCAGGCAAAAATGTACCAATAAAATAGCTTTGTCTCCTTGTTTTACTGCAGTAAATTTACTTTTAAAAAAGAGAGTGTGACAGAGAGAAAGAGTTAGAAGAGGAGGACTATGTTAATTTGAGATTCTGACTGTTCCAGGGTTATAAGAGGATGAAAGCAATACCTTATAAGCAACCTTTTTTGCTATCTCTAAAATAGTGCTTATATTCATAATTAATTGGGCAAGTAAAAACAAATTCATAGATGAATTTCCTTGATGAGGGTGTGACATTGTCCAGATGAGGGTTGTATCAGTCGGATCTGATGCTGGCTGAGTCATAATTTTTGACCACTCCCCTTGCTCCGCCCCTTTCATGCCCAGTTTAGACTCAGTCGGCCTGAGAGAAACATCTCCTACAGATCTGGCTATACAGCCCAGGTCTGTTCAATATCACAGAATTGTAAGTCTTTTTGACCACCTTTTTATTTCTATAGCTTAAAATTGTTACTTCCCCTTTAAATTTTCCTAAGGTACCGGTCTACCAGGCTATATATATATATATATATTTCCCCCCTTCTATTGTAGCCTGCCGGTTTTGCCTTGCTAGAGCGTCCTAAGCTGCCAGGCTTTGCTTCGCTCCTGGCGGCGGCCATTTTGAAAGCCCCATTTTAAAAGGGAACTTTTTTCCTTTTTCTTTTTCCTGTCTTTTTTGGGGGGGATTTTTTTGATCTATCCCACCAACGATTGTTTAAGGGGCCCTAGACCACAATACCACCAACAATAATAGCGATTCCCTAATTTTAAGGGAAATCGCCAAATCGGGCCGCCGCCCACGCTACAGTGATCCCAAAACCGCTGATCAGCTGTAGAGCGGTTAATTGAAGCGCCGCGGCAATTTTAAAAGGAGTTTTTTGCCGCTTTGCCACCAACGAGTCTGCAAGTTTGGGGGGGGGCAGCAAGCTTCTTCTTGCCTCTCCCTGTGGCATTTCCAGCCAGTATTTTTTATTTTTTCTCTTCGTGGCTGTGGGGGCGCTGAGGAGGTCCGTTTCTAGGCTTGACTAGACAGATACCTCCAGAGCAGAGTTTCCTCCTGCTCAAGTGTGACCTGGCAGCCATCGTGCTTAACGCCAGAGTCGTTGCCATCTCAAATTTCAACCACGTGGCGAAACTGAAACCAAAAGCTATTTCTCCAGTCGACATCGTGGTCGCAGTGAGTATACTAAAGATGGCAGATCGCTCTTCCCATGGGGAGGAAAATACTATGTACACTGGGAAGAAATCAACTTCCAAACGTAAGCACCTTTCTAAGCCTGAGGAGAAGGATTTAACAAAGAGGCATAAATCTCTAGAAAAGCAAGCTAGTGAAGTGCCTGCAACTGAGCCTGGTAAGGGGACCCCCCCCCATCTACCCCCCCTCCTCCCATTTCAACTGTTAGCCAGGCCTGGTCTTCGGAGGGAGAGGGTAATGTTCTTCAACAAGACCAAAGCAATTTGCAAAACCCCTTTGCAAGTCAATTAATGACCCCTGCAACTCCTGTATTTGGTGGGCATGCAGCTGCAGCTGCTTCAACAGGTGAATCCTCTATGCCTGTGCTAACCCCCGAAGATCCTTTAAAAAATGTGCCAGAAGGATTGAGAATTCTGATTGAACAGGCCATTGCTTCTAGAATGGCAGCCAATATTCATGGTCACCACTCTGGCTCTGCTATTTCAGAGCGATCTGCCCGTATTAGAATTTCTCCTGCAGTCAGTCTTACTGGCTCTCATTCTCCTGCAGCCTCCAGAGTTAGTGAAGCCTTTGTGTTTGAGGAAGAGAGACATTCTGACCTATCAGATGATGAGGGGATAATCCAAGATCAACCTGCCTTTACAGGATTATTTCCCCCCAATAAATTCAAGTCTTTATTGCATAAGGCTCGCTTAACAGCCGCCTTAAAGGAAGATGAATACTTTCAAGAGATGCAGGAGGCTCAAAAGGGTGGACTACAGGGACCTTTTTCTGAACCCCCCCCCTGAACTTTGTTATGTACCAACTCCACAACTGTTCATAGACGTGGTAAAGAAACAGTGGGCTGGGCCTGCAACCATGGCATCTGCACATGGTTCAGATAGAAATATTATGCTGTTGCTCCAAAGTTTGCTCAACTCTTGCAAGTTCCACCTGTAGACAGCCCTGTAGCGGCCCTTTCCTCTTCTTCTTCATACGTAACTGGGGATACTTCTGAAGGTCTAAGGCCAGAAGACAAAAAGTTAGAATTTCTGTTTAAAAAGAACCATCAGGCCTCGGCATGGGCAATTCAATCAGCTTCATCAGCCTCTTTTTTTAATAGAACTACCATCCTTTGGCTTCAACAGTTACAGGCAAGGGTACCCCCCAGTGAGGTTCGCCTTCATCAGGATATTAATAAAATCATTGCTGCCACTCAATTTTCGGCTGATGCAACCTTGAATTCAGCCAAATTTGCATCCAGAGCCTTAGCCTCTACAGTCTCAGCCCGCAGGATGCTCTGGCTTCGCCAATGGCCTGCTGACCTTAAGGCCAAATGGCGCTTGGCTGCAGCTCCATATTCTGCAAACAAACTATTTGGGGAATCACTTGAACCCCTTCTTGTAGAGACACGGGATAAGCGAAAAATTTTGCCCTCAACATACAAACGGGCTGAAGGAAGACCCTCTCCATATTACAGAAGGCCTTCCTTTCGTTCCTACCCCCAGGGAGGCCCCTCCAGGCAGGAATATCTTCAGGGATCCTATCGATCCTCGGACCGTCAATATTTTCGGGACAGGAGCAGACAATTCCAGCCCAAACGGTCCTTTCGGGGTTCTGGTTTCCGCCAGTCCCGCAGTCGTAAGTGACTCACTACCAAATCCTCCAGTAGGGGGTCGCCTGTCCCTCTTTGCGGACAGGTGGGAAAGGTCATCTTCAGACCTTTGGGTTCTTTCAGTTGTGAAATTCGGCCTCCCCCTGGAATTTCTCTCCAGGCCTCCAACCCGCTTTCTTCAATGTCCAACTTCCAAAAGCGAATCCAGATGTCAATTAATGAACCAAGCAGTTCAGCACCTACTACAGATTCACACCATAGAGGAGGTCCCCCACGATCAATGGAAACAGGGGTATTATTCCATCCTGTTCGTAGTTCCAAAGCGGTCAGGGGGGTGGAGAGCCATTCTGGACTTAAAAAATCTCAACTCATACATAGTGTATCGCAGATTCAAAATGTGTTCACTAACCTCTATTCTTCAAGGGATTCGTCCCAACGATTTTCTAGTTTCCATAGACCTCATGGAGGCTTATCTTCACATTCCCATCCTGCCAAAGCATCGACAGTATCTCCGATTCAGCTATGCAGGAAAGCATTTTCAATACCGGGCTCTTCCCTTCGGACTGGCATCTGCACCAAGGGTCTTCACAAAGGTCCTGGCGGTGGTGGCGGCTCACCTGAGACAACAACCGGTAAGGATCCAGGCTTCCCTGGACGATATTCTGATTCAGGCTCACTCTCAAGAGCAAGCCTTACACGACCTACACCTCACGATTCAAACCCTGAACGACCATGGGTTCTTGGTCAACTACAAAAAAAGTCAGTTAGTGCCAGTCACCAGGATCACCCATCTTGGCGCCATCATAGACGCAGCCCAGGGGACCGTCTACCTAACCTTGGAACGACGGTCAGACATCAGGGACCTAGTAGCTCTCATTCGCAGAACTCCATCAGTTCCATTGGCCACTCTATCCAAGCTCTTAGGCAAGATGGTCTCCTGCGTCCAGATCGTCCCATGGGCACACCTTCACGCTCGCCACTTGCAGTGGTTCCTGCTTCCTTTTCAAAAGAAACGCCAAGCTCACACCATGTCAACAGTCAAAGTTCCACTCTCAGTCAGGCGATCGCTAGGTTGGTGGACATCGCCTTCTCTCGACAAGGGGTGTCTCTTCATGAATCACGACCGACTTGTACTCACTACAGATGCCAGCCTTCACGGATGGGGGGCTCATCTTGCATCACACGTGGCTCAGGGCCGTTGGTCTGCATCAGACCTCGCCAACCCTATCAACTGGCTGGAGCTGAAGGCCATTCGTCTCGCTCTCACGCACTTTCACCGGTTTGTGCAACACCGTCATGTTCTGGTGTTGACAGACAATATGGCGGCGAAGGCACATGTCAACCGTCAAGGGGGCACCCACTCAAAGCGCCTCATGGAGGAATCATTTCGCCTGGGCAAGTGGGCAGAACAACACCTCCTCTCCATCAGAGCGGACCACATTGCGGGGTCGGAAAACACACAGGCGGATTTCCTGAGCAGGACAGAGGTGGACAACAGCGAGTGGCAGATTCATCCTGACATATTTCATCAGATTTGCAACAGGTTCGGCATCCCAGCCATAGATCTCTTCGCCACACACCTGAACAATCAGCTTCCTCGCTTCTTCTCGAGGTTCCCGACGCCAGGGGCGGAAGGGGTCAACGCTCTCCGTCTCACCTGGCCGCCAGGTCTTCACTACGCTTTTCCGCCGCTGCCTCTGATTCCGGCCCTGATTCGGAAGGTCATCGCCGACAGAGCAGAAATTATCCTCGTGGCTCCCCACTGGCCACGCCGTCCGTGGTTTGCAGACCTGGTCAGTCTCTCCACATTTCACCCTTGGAGGATTCCACCAGACGAGATTGTACTGCGTCAGGGGAACCTTCTTCATCCGGACCCTCAGTGGCTCCAACTGACTGCATGGCGCTTGAAGGGGCCCGTCTAAGGCAGGACAATTATTCAGATAGGGTGATTCACATTGTTCAAGCCTGCAGACGTAAATCCACAGTCAGACTCTACAATATCTCCTGGCTCGCCTTTTATAGGTGGTGCCATTCCCGGCAGATAGATCCTGTTTCAGCCTCACCTGCCCAGATCTTGGAGTTCCTCAGAGATGGGTTTGACCGTGGTCTGGCCCATAGTACCCTTCGGAGACATGTGGCGGCTCTGTCTACGGCCTTGTCCAGTCCATCCGGCCGACCACTCACTCAGCACCCTGTGATAAAAAAGTTCCTGCGAGGAGCCAGGCTCTTGCGGCCCTCCTCGATTCATAGATACCCTACTTGGGATTTGCCCAAGGTCCTTAACGCTTTAACTGAGACTCCCTTTGAACCCCTCCGCACGGTTCACCTTCGCTTTCTCACCCTTAAGGTGGTTTTCCTTATAGCCATAACTTCAGCCCGTCGCATTTCGGAGCTGGCAGCCCTCTCAGTTAGGGAGGATCTCTGTGTTTTCCGGCCGGACACAGTTATTTTGAGATTGGACCCTTCCTTTATTCCCAAGGTTAATTCCCCCTTTCACAGGGCCCAAGAGGTTATTTTGCCCAATTTCTGTTCCCGGCCCTCTCATGCCTTGGAACGAAGGTGGCATACCTTAGATGTACGGAGGGCCCTAAAGATTTATATCAAAAGGACTGCTCCCTTCAGGAAGTCAGAGGCTTTGTTTGTTTCCTTTTTGCCAGGCTCCCTAGGGCTCAAAGTCTCTTCTGCCACAATTGGTAGATGGATCAGGGCTTGCATCGCCTCGGCATATCAGGCCCAGGCGATTCCTGTTCCCAATAGCATTACTGCCCACTCCACTAGGAGTGCTGCTACCTCAGCAGCTTGGGCGACTCAGGCCTCCCTTGAGGAGGTATGTAGGGCAGCCACCTGGTCTACCCCCTCGCCATTTATTCGTCATTACAAGATAGATACCTTTGCTTCTGCTGAAGCGTCATTTGGCAGGAGGGTTTTGCAGCAGGTGCATCGTGCGAGGGTCTCTCCAGGCCCTTCGACATCCCGCCCTTGAGACAGCCAAATCTTTGGTATGTCCCTCATCTGGACAATGTCACACCCTCATCAAGGAAATTGGGCATTGGTCTTACCTTAAATGCCAGATTTCTTGAGTGGGGTGACATTGTCCAGCCCCTCCCTCTGTCTCAGTGCCTGTACAGTTTATTGTTCTTGTTCAGTAGTTTTTTTCCAGTTGTCCCGTTGGACCGATTTACTTCCTCCTGATAACGGTGGTTCCTGTTGGAGATACTTCTGGTGGCCTTCCTTCGTCAAAACTGAGCATGAAAGGGGCGGAGCAAGGGGAGTGGTCAAAAATTATGACTCAGCCAGCATCAGATCCGACTGATACAACCCTCATCTGGACAATGTCACCCCACTCAAGAAATCTGGCATTTAAGGTAAGACCAATGCCCATTCTGTGAGGAAACCCATTTTTAACAGCAAAAAGACTTTGGTTTTCCTCTCCTTCTCTCCTGCATCTGCCAATATATATGGTACATTATTAAGATTAACACAAGATTAATCTGCACACTCTTAACGTAGAATTGTTCAGTGTCTGTTCATTTTTATTATTGCACAGAAAATAATTACATTTGATTGCTTGTATGTTTCATTGAACTTCCGTAAATTCAATGTTTCATTGAACTCACAAATGTTAATCCCACCTCTGTTTTGTTGTATTGTCTTTTGAGTGGAGTATTTAGCTGATTTTCATGGTAGTTTTTAACTATTCAGGCCGGAGGACATTTCCCCGCATTCGGCGCCAACAGGGCAACCTCTTCACACTGGTACCATCAAGCCGTTCCTTAAGCACCAATGGGGAGAACCTTGGTCTGACGATGCAATATCTAGACACCTGTGGACGTATGTGGAGTGCTGAAAGTGAGAATTCACTCACTGTGCAGGAGAGAAACATCCCAACTAAATGTAAGTTGATGCTTCCAAATACAGGAATATTTACTAATTCTTTCAAAATGGACCATAGTAAATATTTGGCATTAGTGAACCATTAGGATTACCACCAAATGTTACGTTGCTTGCAATAATACAGGTATTATTGCAAGCAACAGGTATAAGGTCTGGAAGAAAATAGAGAATTCCTCTTTTTTAAAACTTTTACAGTGGAAATTTTGTATGATTGGAAAAGCAACATTTGTGTGAAGTGCTTTCTCTTTTGGAATAATGGATACAAAGCTTTTTATGGAAAGGTTACGTTCATTAAAATTACACACTTTTGTTAATTGCTGTGTGTTCTGTAGACTCAGAATGGGGAGTTTATTTCAACCATATTCCAGTGTGGAAAGGGATTTTGAATGGCTAGGATAAAAAATGTAAGGACATTTCCTAAATAAAATAGAACATTTGCCAAAATACACTTTTGTGCTTACAATAAAAACTTACACATCTCAAAACAAGATCCTCTGACTAATTTACTCTCAGGTAAGTATTCGTAGGATTGCATAAAACCAGAAAAAATGATAAATGCAAATCCCTGGAATGGCCAGTACATCAATACAGAAACTATCAGGTAAAATTAAAATAAAATTCAGTACGTATTCTTTAAATTCTATGCAACAGAGATAGAAAAACAAAACATTGTTACTGAATATGCTAATTCACTGGTAATTCTGGTAACAATAAAGCTTATTTCAAGAAACTAGAAATGGTCCCTAATCTTGCCATCAGATGTGGATCCCAGCAGTGGTAAGAACATTACAGGTGAAGAAGCTGCTACAGGACATTGCATGCCAAAACAACTAGACACAGGGACAGGTTTTTCTCTCATACCATCACTCTGCTGAACACCTAATTCCTACATACTGTCTTATGTCTAAGTACATGCATCACATCACATGCTCATGTTGTATGACTGCAGTATTGTTATTATGCTTTTCATCTTCTTTACTGGCTCCTCTTATTTATATCATTATTATGGTTATTATTGCTCTGTTGCTTTTCATGAATACGGAGATCGTCTACACCGGAGACACATTCTTCATTGTCTAATCACTCTTGGCCAATAAAGTATCCTATTCTATCCTGTCCTATATCCCAGCATTCCCCAAACCTGGGTTGGCAGCCTGGTGCAAGGGAAGAAGGAGGAGAAGAGAAGATGATTTTATGTGAAGGGCAGGCAGGGGTGGGTTCTAAAAATTTTTACTACTGGTTCTGTGGCTTATTTTGTGGGTGTGGCTTGATGGTCATGTGACAATTCTTTAGGATTTAGCAGAGGTACTTGTCTACCAGGCTTTTAACTGCTTGCAGAGCTGTACCGGTCTACTCATCTATTTTTGCAGGCACTGGTCTACTCATCTATTTTTGCAGGCACCAGTCTACTCATGTAGTTTTGCAGGCACCAGTCTACGCATGTATTTTTGCAGACACTGGTCTACCCATTTATTTTTGCAGGCACCGGTCTACCACCAATCTGCCTTTTATCACTGATCAGCTGTAGGGCGGCCCTTTGAAGCCCCATGGCAAGAGTTTAAACAGTTTTTTTCCTTATAGCCCATCAGCTGGGACTCAGGAGGCAGCAATAGATTGGGGTGGGGCCAAATAAAAGGTAAGAATAACGTGGGGGGGCGGGGGGGCGAGAACCTGTTCGGTAACATCATATCATCACCACTACTGGCTCAGCGGAACCAGGAGGAACCCACCACTGAGGGCAGGTGCCCATGTGAGTGGGGCTGTGAGTGCCAGCACCTGTTGCTTGCATGAGGGGCTGTGTGTATGTGCGTACCAGCTGGCCATTCATGTGGCCCAGTTGCGAATACGCCATGGACCACAGGTTGGGGATTCCTGCTATGTCCTATATCCTATCCTTGACTTAAGACCGCAATTAGGACCATAATTTCCATTGCTAAGCATTGCTCTCTACATGGGGCTCCCCTTGAGGAGCACCCGGAGGCTCCAGCTGGTCCAGAACGCGGCCGCGCGGGTGGTTATGGGAGCGACGGGGCGCTCCCATGTGACCCCCTCCTGCGCGAACTGCACTAGCTCCCGGTGGTCTTCCATGGCTTAGGACCGGGGTATTTACGAGACCGCCTTCTGCCACCAGTGGCCTCTCACCAACCAGTACGCTCCCATACAGAGGGGCTCCTCAGGGTGCCGTCGGCCAAACAATGTCGACTGGCGGCCCCCAGGGGGAGAGCCTTCTCTGTGGTGGCACCCGCCATCTGGAACGAGCTCCCCCTGGAGATACGGAGGATCCCGGACCTGCGAGCTTTTCGCCGTGCCATCAAAACATTTCTTTTTCAGCAGGCCAGCCTGGCCTAACCTCTCTTTAAACTTTTAAACTTTTAAAAAATTTTAAATTTTAAATTTGTCTTAAGAATTTGGGGTGTTTTAAATTTCGTTTTCCAGGCCAAATTATTTAATTGTATTTTAATGCTTTTTAACATTTGTATTATATGTCTTTTATCTGGCTATTCACCGCCCTGAGTCCTTCGGGAGTAGGGCGGTATACAAATTCAATAAATAATAATAATAATAATAATAATAATAATAATAATAATAATAATAAAGCAATTATTGTGAGTCATGCCCAATTTTACAACCTTTTTTGCCACAGTTAAGCAAATCATTGTAGTTGTTAAGTGAATCATGCAGTTGTTAAGTGAATCCAGCTTCCCCCATTGACTTTGCTTATCAGAAGCTGGCTGGTGATAGCATGACTCTGAGATGCTGCAACCATCATAAATACATGCCAGTTGCCAAGTGTCTGAATTTTGATCACATGACCATGGGGATGCTGCAACGGTTGTAAGTCTGAGGACCTGTTGTCACTTGTTTCACTGCTGTGTAAATTGGAACAGTTGCTAAATGAATGGTTGTAAATCAAGGACAACTTGTAGTCATTGTTACTATCCAGAAATTTAAACATGGGACAGGGAGCAAAGACTTCATTGAAGGCCTTATAAAAAGCAGTGTTTTATTTTATTTTTTATTTTCTATTTATTTTTCTTTCCGCTGCAATTCTAAATGATTAGAATTGTATTTCTTTTTTCTCAAGGAAATTCTGGAAATTTACTTATGTGGATAAGTTTATTTCTGTCTTTCTTGCTCTCAGAATTTTCCTCTTTTTTTTCCCTAAGCAATCAAGAATGGCAGCTTAGCCTACCTTAGAAGCTTTTTTAAAGGCTATGGTAGTCATTAACAAGAGTGCCAAGTTAGATCATCATTTATATGATGTAGCTGTTCTTTGGGGATGTTGGAATAGAAAATTTGGGAAATGCTGATGTTGATTCTGTTCCCGGGCAGTAGCAAAAATCAATTAATTGCAGCATTATTTTAAGTTCTGTATTTATATGTCACAGTTTTCAGCTGATATATTAGACTCTTGTAATTTACATATGGGAAACATTTTTATCTTTCTTACTGCTCTAGCAATTAAATTATCTGATATAAATCAGTACTGTTGATGCCAGTGTTAGGATAGAATTATATAATTGGAAAATGACTTGTATTTGACAGCTCCAAGTGCTCCAGTCAACTGGCGTCGAGGGAAGCTCCTAGGACAAGGTGCCTTTGGTCGGGTATACTTGTGCTACGATGTAGATACAGGCAGAGAACTTGCAGCTAAACAGGTCCAGTTTGACCCAGAGAGTCCTGAAACAAGCAAGGTATTTCCATGGCTAAACACTGATAGTAAAATGCCTCTGTATTCCTCAGTTTCCACTTTCCTGATCTATAATGGGAAACTCTGCAACCCAAGGGTACAATTACTCATGACACAATTGAGGCATTTACTTAGCTTTTTAAATTGAATTTCTTGTTAGAATTACTGGCTTCTTAGTTGTTCTCCTGTCTGCCTTTCTTAGCAATGGCATTTAGTCCTGTTTTCTCCTGATACTTACCGATGCATTGAGAGCAGGATAAAAACAGTGCTACAGAGGTGCTTAAGAGTTTGTGAACTCTTTCTGAATTTTCAATAACTCTGCATAAATATGAGCTAAAACGCAATTTATGAGCACCCAAGCACTAAAACTAGATAAAGAGAACCCAATTAAACAAATGAATCAAAAATATATTTCTTCATATATTTATTGAGGCAAAGCTGCATATTTGGGGGGCATCAAAATTAAAAAGTTCACAAACTTTTAAGCATGTTGACTTGCATCTAATTATTGTGTTCTAACTCCAGGCCTCCTATAGTTAGAGAGAAAGGAACACGCTAACAATTTGCTTAGGAAAGAAATGCAATACAAAGTGTAAGGACATTTGTACTTCTTTTCCCTTTTAAATTTTTTATTAGTTATCAAAATATAAAATACAAAGAAAATAAAAATAATGGGAAAGTAAATGAAGAAAAGGGGATGAGGAAAGGGAAGTTAGGGTAAAAGGGAAAAAAGCATTGATTTCCTACTCTTTTTAGCGCAGTAGAATAAGATAACACATAGCCTCAACTTTTTGTTTTTACATAATATATACTAGCCATTTCTATAACAACAAATCTGTCTAATCAGCAAAACCAAAAGTCAGTTTCATTTTTTTTTCCATCTCAAGCACAAAGTGTAGAAGTGGTTTCCAATTGGAAACAAAGTTAGCTGTATTCTTTTCTTCAATTAAAGCAGTCAATTTAGCTGTCTCTGCTAACTCCATCAGCTTTTACAACCAGTCATCCATTATAAGAATCAAAATATTTTCCATTTTTGTGTGTAGAGCATTCTTGCTGGTGTCAGCATCTATAACATTAAAGTTCCATTTTTTTCAAGATCTTTGTCCATTAAGCTTAAGAAAAAAGCCTCTGGCTTTACTTTTATGTTCACTTTAAGTATTAAGATGTGAATCGTACTACCCTAGATGGTAAAAAGTTCCTTCTTTACATTTAGATTTGAAATACCTATATACGTTTTTGACAATTTATTCAGTGTTAAATATCAGTAGTATTTAATCATTTTATAAAAATTTTCTTTTAAATTATAATTTAATGTAAATTTTAAACCCTTTCTCCATGTATTTTCCCATTGTTCAAGCATTATATTCAAAAAATGTTGCCCGTTTGATCATACAATGTTTCATGTAGTCGTTCTCCAAATTTAATAACAGTTTATAAACATTAGCAATAATGTGTTCATCATTACCACATAGTAAAGCTTCCTTTATTTTTTGCAAAGGCAAATCCATAACTTTTTAAATCTAATTTAAACCTTTCTTGAATTGTAAATAATGACAGACACAATTTGTTGTAGGTTTTAATCCATGCTTTGATGGTGACTTGGCAGTCACCACAAAAATAATTACATGATGTCTTTATCTCTTGTAGGCCTATTTTCTTTGCTTGATTTTCTTCAAAGCACCCTTGCTCCAGGGCTGAACAGTGTAGCTATAGAGAAGGTGGCATTTTTATGTCACTGTTAAACATCTAACCAGTATAAACATGATGTTGAGTTCTAGGATTGTGATTTATTATATCCAGAGAAGCCAGCATCATAGTTCTACCTTTACAAGTGTGTGTGTGGTATAAATCCTGATCTATTTGGGCACCGTGAATTCTGGACTCATATATAAAAATGGCAGCAAAACAGGAGAGAAAAACTTGCATGTATCTGATAACATTCTGATTTATTAAGACATAAACAGCATTTTCAATAAGGTACCAACACAATCATTATGTTCTAAAGATTTTTCTTTTCTTTTTTTTATTCAACTTTATTAAGTTTCAAAGAGATGTAAAATCAAAATAAAAAAAGTAATTGAGGGGAGGAAGGGACACAAAATTCTCCTAAAGTTTTTTCTGAAGTTTAGGATATTTCTAAAATGAATTCTAAGAATCTCTAATTTAACTGCTTTGTGGTGATACTGTTAATGCCTACTGTTAGTATAGTTTAAACTTTCATTAGAATGTAATGTTCCCCCATTTTTAAAATGAAAAGTTATCTGCAGAGAAATAATTGGGTTGTAAGTGAAGAAGTGAAAAAATCTTGTAGTTTAGCAATTGGATAGTGTTAATGGTTACATCACTAATAGAAATGAATCAGCAAGGGAATAGATGAATGACGTTTTATGCCATACAAAAATTAGAATCCAAAGTTTAATGTTTCAGCAACTACCTAGAAATGACCATGTTTGCAGTTATATTATAGATTATCCTCTTTGCAGAATAGAACTTAAGGTCTCATGTCAGATATGTCAGTTTATTGTCCTCTAAAAAAATAGCAATATTACTATATTTAATTTCAAATGTGGAGATGTGGAAAAGGAGATGAAGTCTGATCATTCATTGGGTTGAGGTTGCCTAAATTTTACCTCCACTAAAAAGTAGCATTTATGTGGAGGTCATTGTCCTATGTCTTTCTCAAGGTAATCTGGCAATTCTTATGCCTGTAGGAAGTGAGTGCATTGGAATGTGAGATTCAGCTACTGAAGAACCTTCAGCACGAGCGGATTGTTCAGTATTATGGATGTTTAAGAGACCGAGCAGAAAAGACCCTGAGCATTTTCATGGAGTACATGCCAGGGGTAAGAGATCTATGGATTCTTTAGGAAGTGGTTTTAATCCATCTCAGATTTCAGTTTGTTAGAAAGCCAGTTTTGTGTAATGATTAAAGGCACCTGGCTAAAAACCTAGAAACAATGAGTTCCAGTTCTGCCTTGTGCTCAAAGCCAACTGGTGACTTTGGGCCAGTCATTCTGTTCTGAGAAAAAAGTAATAGCCAAAGATCTTGCTAAGAGCACTAGATGAACTAGGCAACAGGCAGTCACTAGGAATCAAAACAGACTTGGAGGCACAAATCTATAGATGTAATATATGTGCGTATATGTGTGTATATATATATATATATATATATCCTGCTTTTCCTGTGAAGGGTTCTGTCAAGGATCAGCTGAAAGCCTATGGTGCACTAACGGAAAATGTTACTCGAAAATACACTCGGCAGATTCTTGAAGGAGTCTGTTATCTTCACAGCAACATGATTGTACACAGAGATATTAAAGGTAAGAGATCCACCCAAATCCACATATGGGTTCGTATTTTCTATATGTTCTATTATGCTTATTTATGCCATAGATGAGAGGAAATAAATATTGTGTTTTCAGGGTAGCATTAGTATCAGTATCCTAATACTATTCAATAAATGAACGAATACTATTAACAATAGATGAGATGCTATTGAATTCATGAGCATATAATTCTCCCCAAAATTTATTTTCTGATAAACTTGGTTTTATTTATGGGGAAAACGACAACTATATATTACATGGTATAATAATCATATTGAGAAATGACAAATTGAAGACATGTTGACTAGATCAAGGAACAGTGCAAGAGCAGTGACAAGATCTGGAAATAAAACATATTATATTATGAATGCAATAAGGAATTAAACTTATCTTTTCCTCTTGTACCTTTATTAGTCAAAATCCTCCACTCTTTACCCAGTCGCTGTTCTTTGTTTCCAAAAGTATAGTTTGCAGTGAATAGTATCTATAGGGCAAGTAATAGCATAACATATTATTTTCACTTGGAAAACTACAGGAGGCATTATTTTTCATATTATAGTCTCAAACTAGATTTGGGGATATTAAAAATGTCAGCTTTAAAGTGTAACAAGTAGCTCCCTTGGTATATTACTCATCTGACATTTTAATTTTTTTTTTTTTTTTTTTTTTTTTTAGAGGTTAGGAACATAGTTACGGTTGGAAAATAAAAATGGTTCACAATTGCAGTCTGCAAAAAATAAGACAAAATCAAGCTGTAGCATGGCAAGGAGCATGTGGAAAGAGGGAAAGGGGTCTAAAGAATATGGTAGAGAACATCTCATCGGCTTTCTTTAGAGTTTTGGGACTGGCTAAAATGGTCACTGCAGCTATTTTATGATTAGCTAAGCTAAACCTTTGGGAAGACATTTTGTTAAAGTAAACACCAACATTTAAGGATTAAATATTTCCACTAATTTAAAAAGATTGAGTATGCAATGTGATATTCTGTGGGTCATAGTATACAGTAATATACTGAGAAAATGGTGGCTTGGATGTATCTTTAAAAAGAAGCACCTTCATCTTTAGAAATTAACATTGGTAGGTGGCTGCAGTGGCAAGATAATTTGTATGGCACTCAAGTCGTTTTAAATTAGGTTCTAGCTGTGATGGTTTATAAATCTATACTTTGAGTTGTATACTTGAGCAGCTTCTTTTTCTTTTCTTTTTCTCTGTTTCTACACTCACTTCATCTCAGGAGCCAATATTCTCAGAGATTCTGTGGGCAACGTGAAGCTTGGAGATTTTGGGGCTAGCAAGCGACTGCAGACAATCTGCATGTCTGGGACTGGTATTCGCTCTGTCACGGGAACTCCTTATTGGATGAGTCCAGAAGTGATCAGTGGAGAGGGCTATGGAAGAAAAGCTGACATCTGGTGAGAAATAGCTTCGTGCAGCTTGCTTAATGTAAAGGATTACTTTCTAGAAAAGGAATTTTCTGCCACAATATTCTGAACCAGTTGGCATTTTATTAATCTTTTTTCTGTAAACTGTAATGGGTTCAACAGGGTAATTTATTGTTCTCCTCTCCCCCTTTTCCCTTGTCTTCCCCATTGCTTTTCTATGTTCTGAGTTCCTGGATGTTGCTTTGGTTTTCTGCACAACTTTGCTTTCTTTTGTAATAGCTCAGAAATCATCCAAGTATGTGGATGTCTCTCTTCCCCGCCTCTAGTTTTGCAGTGGCTCATTCTGTCAGCACTCAACCGGCTTATTATTGGAAGAAGAAATGCTGATGAGAGTTGCCCTAACCTTCTGTGTAATTACCGAACTTAAACTTGACTTTTTTTTTAATCACTAAAGCATGTTGTCTTATCAAAGCTTTTTCTGGATGGTTACCTTTGAAATAAGAATCTTCTATATCCCTATTAGTTAAAAAGGAGAGAGATTAAAACAGCAAGAACAACAACTCTTGGTTAATGTCCTCCGAGTACTTTACAAAATCTCTAAATAATAAATGTGTCATGGAGTTGCAGAGGTGGACAGGAATGTTTGCTTCTTGTTTCCTCAGTATCCAAGCACAAAAGATCCCACACTAAATAAGCAGAACAGGCTATGTTTTAATAAACCAGTCTTTAGGAGCAATAAGGATCATGGTGGTGATATGTTCATGGCACAGATGGCAACAGTCATAATAATAAACTGTTTCAGGGAATCAAACCGGTGATGATAAATAAAATTGGTTTATTAAATGTAACATGCTTAAGAAGCACAGATTTAGAAATGTTGCAATCTCATCAGTGAGGGTTGCCAAAAAGAAGCAGGACTGCATGCAATCACAGGTTGCCCATCATAAACTGTATTTTTATATAGTCTTTTAATCTGAAAGCCTGCAAGCTTTCTAGACTGTTTGTATTTACTCTGTCGGTTTCAATTGATTGGGGATAGCTGCTTTAAAACACTTCAATATTATCTCCTAAATTGTGATGTGATGTGTTGAAATACAGATTTTGTATTCACTGATCAAACATGGCACACAAACTTGTCATTATCATAAGGCATCTGCAACTGCAGAATAACAAACTCTAATTAACTTTTTTTTTCAATCAGAGATTAGGACATAATGGATAAACACCAATATTCAAGGATCTAATATTCCACTAACCTGAAAAGATTAGTTATGCAATGTGGTGTGCTATGGGTCATATTTTTACAGAAGTGGTGAAAAAATCTGTTCTTGCAAGTTGATGTGCTTTTAATAAAAGAGTATATTAGGAATGACATTCCAGGGCAGTAGTTTTTCTCATGGTTTAGAGAAGTTCTTTTGACAAAGAATCAATTTTAAAAACAGCTTTATAACACAATGTGCACTCATGTATGTATTTGTACTATTGAGTAGCATTTGCTTACAGCATCTTTACAAGGTTGTTTTTTAAGATAAAGTAATTTAGAAGATAAATCACTTTTATTGATCTGTGTTAGAATGCTTAATTCATAAAACTTTTCCTTCAAGAAGGCTTGCATTATTGGGCTGTGTTCATACTTTTCTGGAAACAAGCTGCCATAGTACAAACAGTTTCAATTTATTTCATTGTGACTAGCACTTCTGATCCTGTTTACTTCTGCTTCTGTAAAAAACACCATTCTTGTGCCTCCTTTGGTTTTACTGACTATAGTCTTATCAGAGCCTTTTTCTTCCTTCCCTATTTTTTTTTTCCTTCAGCATTTCATTTAGCTACATTCAAGGATCTTCAGCACATATCTTTATTTATGTTTTAAGATCAAACAAAAATTTCGTAAAATACAGTTAAACTCTATGAGAGTCTGTCCCATCTAAAATGTTAAATATTCTGTTGTCATGTTTTCAAAGTAGCACAACACAAGTTAACTATTCTGAGAATTATGTGATACTTCGCATCTGAAAGTAGCAAAATACCATATTTTTCGGAGTATAAGATGCACTTTTTTCCCTCCTAAAAGAAGCTGAAAATTTGGGTGCGACTCCGAATGTAGCTTTTTTTCAGTCCTAACGAGATGCCGCGGTGTGCCTGCTCCCTCCGGCTCTCAGCTGTGCTTTAGAAGCTTTTTTTCAGCCCTAAGGAGGCGCTAACGAGTGAAGCGCTTTGCCTGCTTCTTCTGACTCTCAGCTGTGAAGTTTTTTTTCAGCCCTAACGAGGCACTAGCGAGTGAAGCGATTTCCGTGGTTTGCCTGCTTTTTTCATTGCTTCTCTCTCCAAAGATCAGTTGTGCTTTAGAAGCTGTTTTTTATCCCCAAGCAGGGGATAAAATCCAGCAAACTAATGTGCTAAAGCTAACCAGACTAAGGACACTAGCCAGATGAATACCTAGTAGGCAGATTTTTTTCCTCCCCAAAAACTAAGCTCCGAAAAATATGGTAGTTTAATTTTCTTCCAATTTTCCTAGATAATCCAGAAGTACAGGGCTAATGTATTTTAAATGCAAGTCCTTCTAGGAAAGGCAATATAATAAAATGAGGTTTATTGTTTCAATTTTTCCCAATTCTTATTGTCCAGGGGAATTTTAAAATATTTATCTTTTAAAAATGCAAATGGAAGAACATTGTATCTAGCTGTAAATAATTTCCCTTATAAGTCTGGAATGGTGAGTGTGATTAATTTGTTGATTCCAGGTAAAAATTTTAAACAAAGCTTTCTGTGATAATCCTGTTTACTTCATTTTAGTGTTTTATATCCTTGTCTCTTTGCAGGAGATATTGATTAGCCAAGTCATATTCTAGAGAAATAAGCAACTCTATCAAAAGCCCATATGATAGCAACTTCATTTCATTTTTGGCTTTCCATTTTCAGAAATGTCTATTTGCCAAAACTAACAGGACTAAACCTGAAAGGAACCAATGGAACTTGAGCCAATAAGTGTCTGTTTCTAAGACCTCACTGCTCTTCTAGGCAGATTCCATTGCCTAGTCTAGCTGCCTAAGATATATATCTAGGAGCAGAAAGAATACCCTTTACTTGCACTGTCTCGATTTTCTTTTGTATTCATGTAAACCCCATAAAGAAATGGGGCTAACTCTTTTGCTGAAAGCGATTTAAAATTGCTGAGATCAATTTTCCTCTTTTAGAGAAGATTTTTAATAGCCATTTTAATAATTTAATAGCTATTGAGGTTTAGCCTTTGAACCATGGAAGCTTAATAGCCATTGAGGATCCAAATATTCTTTACTTAACAAAATTTTAAAAAGATCAGAGCCTTTCAGATCTTCATATGGTGAAAATTATTCCCAATATTTGAAGTTCTGGACCTGCTTGATCTTGTTTCTTTCAGTAATCCATCTCCATAGCTTTATTGTGCCATAATTTCTGGTTTTTATAAAATTAATATCCAGTAATGCAATCTCCCTTCAATATTGGACTATAGCTTTTATGACTCTCTTAAGGCTAATTAGAATATATGAATTAATTACTTCATCGGTATATAGCAAGATGGGAGCGTTGAGGCCTGCAAGTGAGGGACAATGAAAATCTGGCTTCTCTAAGGCTTCAGTTAATATAGACGTTAATGGGTGCCAAAGTGGATCCTGGCTGAAACACTTTCAGGATAGGTATTTATTTTGAAATAACTTTTATGAGTTACGTTTCACAGTGAGTGTTAGCATGGATGAGCAAATATTTATTTAGTTTATTTATAAACAAGTTTATATAGCTGCCCCTCTGAAGGTGGCTCTGGGAGGAGCACAACAAACAGGTAAAACTACATACAAAATCACAAATATAAAAAATAAAAATCAAATAGCAGTAATTACATAAACAGAAATACAAAACCTAGGCAAAAAGGGAATAAAAGCAATGAGTACATCAATAGAGTCATCTAAGCATATCTCTGGTTCCTGGGAGCCCCAGGCTTGGTCAGATAGTCAGGTTTTGAGATCCTTTCAGAATATATGGTAATATGGATGGAGCCAATCTAATTTTGGATAGGAATAATGTTTCGTAAGGCAGGCACTAGGGCAGAGAAAGCACAACTCCAGGAGCCCACCAAATGTAGGCCCTTAGTTGATTGTACCTGCAGCATAGGCCTCCTAGCCACAACTGCCACTTGCTCATTGATCAGAGGTCATGAATCTAGGTTATCCAAGTTGCACATAAGATCTGTATGTATGTAACACAATCCAGCACCAAAGATGGCATAGTCCTTGAAACAATGGCCCCCAAAATCCAGCCATTCAGTTTTGCCAAGCCACCCAGACCTGGGTGGTTCACAGGGAACCTGGGAAGAATTCACAGCTTCGCTTTATTTGCCAGGGGTGGAGGTACAGAAGTGTGTATCATATGTGTACTGATGATATCTCACCCACTGGGATGGATGAGTTCACTCAGCAACCACATATAGAAGTTTATGAGGGAGAGGAGAAAATACCAAACCTTATGGCACCCTACAAAGCAGAGGCTGAGGGAGGGACCTCTCCTTCCCAATCACCACCAACTGGAATCAACCCGGAAGGAAACATGCCCTCACCCCAAATCCTCTGAACTGATCCAGAAGGGTACCATGGCCAATGGTATCAAAAGTTGCTAAGGGTTCAAGTAGGTCATGGATACATTAGCCCCATCCCACCTAAGCCAGAGGTCATTCAGAAATGCAAGCAGTGCTGTTTTCGTCCATACCCAGGTCTTAATCATGACTGAAAGAGATGTAAATTCACTTCTTTCAAGGTCTTCTGAAGCTGCTACACAACTACCTTTCCCTGAAAGTAGAGGTGATATACGCCTGCCTAGGTGGCTCAGTGACTAAGACACTGAGCTTGTCGATCAAAAAGGTTGTTAGTTCGGTGGTTTGAATCCCTAGTACAGGTCTCCTGCGTGAGCAGAGGGTTGGACTAGATGACCTCCAAGGTCCCTTCCAATACTGTTACTGAATGAAAATTGTTTGGGATGGTAGGGTTCAGCAATTGCTTCTTGAAGAAGGGTGAATATAAGAGGTAAAAGAACAATCCCTTCCTTCAAGAATTAATCATTGCCACAGCCCACTCACACAGCATCTTACCTCTGGGCCTCTTTAACAAGCCAGGACAGGCATGGATCTAAAGACCAGGGGGGTCTACTCAGTCCTGAGGACCCTGCCTACTTCCTCAGGTCCGACAAGTTGTTTGTTTATTCAATGTGTATGCTACCCATCTCATCAAGAGGTGATTCTAGGCAGCTTATAACAAAATAAAAGCAGCAAGATAAAACATTAAAATATTTTTTTAAGATATTAACATTATAATTGACTTAGAATTAACAAAGATAGCAAGAAAAGGAGCAAGGGTAGAAAAGAGTATTATTTCTATCCATTAACCACTTCCAGTATAACACGCTCCAATTGGGGCCTGAGGCCAATTTGCAGAGCCAGGTTTTCATGTCCTTTTGGAAGGCCAAAAGGGTGGGATCAGATCTCGCCTCAAGGAGCATAATGTTCCAGAGGGCAGGAGCCACAGCAGAAAAGATTCCTCTCCTGGCACTGCTAGCCAGAATTACTTCTACTGGCACAGGTGAGGTGGGCCAATCCCAATCTTATTGGAATCCTTCTACATACTTCTTTTACTGGCCCAAGTGAGGGGGCCCATTCCCAATTTTATGTAATAAATTGGGACCATTAGTGCTTTCTTACTTAGTTTCTGGAAATAGTACAACACAGTATAGATGTATATATATGGATACAGATATATTAAATCTGAATTCCTTGTAATTAATTCAGTGAGTGCTAGTGCTTTTTCAGTTTTCAGAGTATCAAGAAATTTGATAGCTTCTGTTACTTCTGTTACACTTACTACTGGCCAAATAAGAAGGAATCATTGTCCAATTCCTTAATAGATCTTCAGGATTGAAGAATGTACTCAAAAATATTCTACCCACCTTTATATTGGAAAAGCGCTTATGCTAACTAGCCAAAAATAGTTCAGCACATCCCAGCATAATCTGCATTATGCTGCCCGAATCCCTGGCTGGAAGTAACATATTGAAGTCTTATTCTTGGTTATGATCCTCCAAGATCTCAGCAGAAGTTCAAATCCTTATTGGAGATTTTCTCTTTGCAAGTTGATTTTTTTTTTTCAGTAGTAAAGTATATAACAAGTTAAATCATACTACAGTCCAGAAAAAAAAGCTGGTGCCTTACATCCATTTTTAGATTTTAGTATCTGAACTTAACATTTTACATCACCATTCCAAAATGTTGAATGATTTCATTCCTATTCAATTTTGCTGCACTAAAAAGGATGCCAAACTTGGTTGTTTGAAAGAACATCTGCTCCTTTCCTCAGTTCCGCAACACAGACCTGTAGTCCCAAGAGAATTAATCATTGGTGTGGCAGTGGTATTTGTTCATCTCAGAATCTTTTACACAGATGAGTGGCTTCAGGTTGACTCAGTTTTTACAAACAACATTTTCACATGCCTACACTTCTCTCTCTACCCTGGGTTTCTCTGTAAATTGGGGCAGGTTCAACTTCCGTTCCATGTAATGCCTCCTTTTATAGAAGTGATATTGGATTCATTATGTTGCCAGACATTCTCACCCAAGGACAGAATAAAGATAATGGTAGCCATACATCTTGCATGCTGCTGCTAATTCGTTGAATGAAATGTCTTCTGAATCTCATGGCCTTGATTGACCTCTCTGTGTCAGGCTCTCCCCAGTAAATCAGATATTAGAATTAGATGACCAAATTGTACTTTATTTTAAGGCTTCAGCAATAGAATCTTAAAAGTCTGATAGTACTGATCTCCTGCCATTCTTCTTACAGCCTGACTAGTTAGATAGGTTCACTTACGAGTTTCTTTCTTTGTCATTTATGCAGCTATGGGCTATACCAGGGATCCCCAGCCCCCTGGCCATGGTCCACTACTGGGCCTTGAGCCATTTGGAAGTAGACCACGGAAGTGGAGGGAGTGTGTGTGCACGCATCCCTACGTGCGCAAGTGCAGGCGCACACACTCCATTTGCACAAGCAGGATGGGGAACTCTGGGGTATACCATGTTTTTTCTGATTATTCCTTAGACAGTATCTCTTTTCCCATCTCTCAAGGTAATTACTATATATCATTACAACTAATCTGATTGCTTTCATATTATCTTTATATATGACTTCAAGTACTTATTTGTCAGGATCTTCATTATAGCTCAAATCTGATCAGATGTCACCTTTTGTTCTCTGCCTCCTGTGATGGATGTATCATAGTAAACGCATGCATCTGAATCCACAAAATATTCAAAAGTATTTATAATTACAGATAAGCAACCTGCGGATTCATGGAGATATCAAAATTATTCTGGAATTATGCAGAGCAGATTTTGACCACCTCTGTGTGCCATTTCATGAATATTGTTATATCCCATCTCAGTTTTTTTTTAAGACTAAACTTGCTTTAATTTTTTGTACATGCTACAATAATAATAATAATAGAACAGAATTAGAATTAGAATAGAAATAGGACTGGGAGGATAGGATGGGATGGGATGGGATGGGATGGGATGGGATGGGATAGAAGAGTAGAAGAATAGAATAACTTTATTGACATGCAAAGCAACAAGATAATAATCGAATTAATGATACCAATAAGAGAGAGCGTAAAAAACTTGGGAAGGATAATAATAATAGTACTATCATACAACATGGGTAAATATACTTATATATTTACTCAGTGCTCAGCAGAGTAATAGAATGAGGGAAGAAACTGTCTCTGTGTCTAGCTGTTTTGGCATGTGATTCCCTTTAGGAGGGGCCGGGGGCAGGGTAGGAGCTTAAAAAATTTATATCAAGGATGTGAGGAGTCTGTAGATATTTTATCAGTCCTCCTTCTGACCCACACAATATACAGGTTTTCTGTGGAAGACAGACTGGTTGCACTTGTTTTTTCTGGAGTCCTAACTATGCTGGAGTCTGTAATGGGTCAAATGCTGTTTTGAGAAAATAAATAAGATAGCTAGTTAAGAGGCACCATTAGTCCTCTCAGTCTTCAGTATCTTTTCATATTATAATAATGATTATAGTGAGTTACAAAGGGACTTTTCACTAAGTGGCTTTGAACTCTTTTTTCCTGTGTTTTCTCCTTCCAGGAGCCTTGCCTGTACTGTTGTGGAAATGTTAACAGAGAAACCACCCTGGGCAGAATATGAAGCTATGGCAGCCATTTTCAAGATTGCTACACAGCCTACTAACCCCCAGCTTCCTTCTCACATATCAGAACCTTGCCGGGACTTCTTAAGGCAGATCTTTGTGGAAGCCAGGAAGAGACCTTCAGCCGAAGAGTTGCTCCAGCATCATTTTGCCCAACTCTCCTACTGAATTACCATCCCTGAAATAGCATTCCATTTTTAGATGATACTGTTGTCTGAAGTGTTGTGGCCTATATCAGAGAATCCACTCCAGAATGTTGGCATATAGACATTCTGTTTGCCTAGTAAGATAGTGTGCAAGGGAAATGCAAAAGTCAGCCAATTTCATTTTGGTATCTTCATTTTGAGGGATTGATGCTTTCTCTGTCACTACCCATGTGCTGACATGGCATTTGGCATGTGGCTAGGAACAATCTCAAATGCTTCATTTGAATATAGATCTATCTCTGAAACTTGTGACAATGAAAAAGAAGGAAATGGACTCTGAGAATTGCTAAAAACTACAAAAATGTGTATTGGGCTCGTATTATCACTGTTTTACAGCTTTTCAGGTTGCAGGGTGCTGTTTCTACTTCTCTTTAGCCCTCTCCTATGTCCATGTTCCTGGTTGACGAGAATGGGGGAGGGGATTCCCATGGATCAAAAGTACAATGGAATCTAGTTGGAATAAAGGTTCCCTGAATGAAATAAGGAAATCGAGTTCCATTCCAGCAGGATTGTCTAAAGGGGCAATGCAGAACTGTGTGTTCTGTGTCTATGCAGTAACCACGGGCTAACACAATTTTTGTCTAGCAAAAAAAAAAAAAAAAAGTATTGTGGGACTCGACACTTTTAACTTCTATTTTTTTTAAAGCACTGTCTAGTCTTTATGGCATCAGAGAAACTAGGAATTCATATGGGAGATATTAAGAATTTTTAGAAATTAGAGGGAGCTGAGCAAGGCATGGTGCTCCTTCTATGAGTATCAAAAGTCAGTAAATAAAATGAGGAATGTATATGGAATTTTACATTATTTGCAGAATTTATCCAGATTGTAGAATGTGCCATTTTATGGATTGTGTTGCACAGGATATCATGCAATAAATAGATTGTGGTGAGAACTATTGTGAGAAAGCCTGGTATCAATGTGCTGCCTTTAGATGGCTGTTAGTTGATAGGATAACAAATTCCCTTGTGTAGAGTTATACACAGTTAAGATATGCTACAGTTATAATTGATATGAAAATATCTTAATTACTGTGAGAAATTCAGTCTCATATACCTCCATTAGATAGCTTCGTCCATCCAAATCCCTCTCTCCCCCAAATTTCTAACCAAAGATTATTTCATTGCTGCCAAGATTATTCTTCAAGGAGAGGCAAAGTATTACTGCTGAGCCTAGACAGGATTGTTCATACTGAACAGAACTACCTTTTCCACGTGCTTGTAATGGAAAAATTGGGGCAAGGAGAAGTGATATTGCTCACCTGTCTTTATTCATTCTGGGTTTCCCCGTATGCTTTTCTGATCTTTAAAAAAACAGCTTCTAAAGTTTGAGACCATGTTTTCCCACAGTTCTGCAGAGCTGCAGTTTGTTAATCTAAATTTCTGAATTTTTTTTTCTAAGAAACTTTGTTTTTTTAAGAGGCACTTCTGTCAGATTTAATTGAGTACAGTCAAGGAGCTAACTTCTTGATCTCTCAAATGTTTGGTTGCCAACAGCATACCTTTATTATATAAAATGTTGGATTAGAACCAGATACACTCAGACAGGGCCTCTATGAGACCCTGAGTATCTCCGTTATTCATTATGTAGCAAATCATGTACACTCCAGGAGCGTTAGGACAGATGAAGGATGTGACCCACATGCTGCTTTGCAAAGAGCATTCTGCCACTTGTGACACTTCAGGCGTTTGCTCTTAACGTTGCAAAGATATATTAATCTACCCTTGCTGTAGCCCCCAACTTGTCAAGTGTTTGCCATTCTGCAAAACTGAGATTCAGTCTCATCTGTCACTTTATACAAAGTTGCATGTGGTTGCTTGTAACAATATTGCAAGCTACCTACCAGCCTCACATGTTAATGAAAGCAGGTCGGGGAGCCATGCTTTCAGTTAATCAGCAGCACTTCTTTTAAAGCAGAATGCAATTGATATGCAGATAAAAGCTGTTCTTTTCTGCTGTCTCCAGCCTTGTAGTTGTGGCAAAGGCCAGACCAACTATCTTGATGTGCTCAAGTTTTCTGTCATATTTGCTTAAGAATGCCTATGGGTTTATAACAAATAAAATTACATAAAGTATCTGTACGGATCTAAAAATGCTATCATGATTTCCTTTTTTACTTCATTTGCCAACATATCTGTAGGTCTGGGTTTGTTGCCTTAAAAACACGTATATTCTTTTTCAAGACAATAATGTTGAGTTATGGTGTTTCCTTTGATTTTAGCAAATAACCAGCAACAGAGTTGATCCCTCATCTGTCTTTGAGAATATGATATGTTGCCTTGGCTCCTCACTGGGTGGATAAGCTAAGAAATAAGCCAAAGTGTTAATTCATATGGTCAGCAGTGCACTTTTATAAATATATTTATATCACTTTCTTATTAAGCATTTTACTTCATGTAAAGAAATTATGATGTCTCATACTTTTTATTTATGCCATACTTGTTTATGTTTATATACGTGTACAGCAATTATTATGGAATGGGGAGGGAGAAATTGACATCTTTGTGAATTTTAAAAAAGGGGAAAGAAGCAGCTGGTTTTGCAAAGATTTTGATTACTGTTTATTACAAGATGTATCAGGTCAAAATACCTTTTTGTTTCCTTGCTAATTTTGGGGGGAGAAAAAAGTAAGCGTAATAGAATAGCAATATAGAAATGGCAATTTGGAATAACAGAAAGCCACAAATCAGATGTATTAGAGCCTCATGTGTTCCTGTTGATACAACACACACAGTCTTGATTGAGCATATTGCCATTTCTTCACAAAACAACAGTGATCTGCACTGTTGTGTAACAGTGCAACAGTGAGGTTGCACGGTTCCAATGTAATCTCATTTTAAGATAGATTTCACATGTTGGTCTCACAACTTTTGTATATCTGCATTTCTGTGGCAGTTAAACCTCTTTTTTTAAACAAACAAGAAATGGCTTATTGTATGCTGTGTTTACTTGTGATAGAATATATACACTCAATATATATATATGTGTGTATAGTTAATATTTCGGGTTTCTTCCCTTGTAATTGTGAACATATCCCTAAAAGGGTAGAAGCGACGTTTCGACAGAATCTCATCTGCCATCATCAGGCTTATGTGAGGGGTCTTTTGCAGTAATAATGAGATTCTGTTGAAACGTCGCTTCTACCCTTTTAGGGATATGTTCACAATTACACGGGAAGAAACCCGAAATATTAACTATACACACATATATACCCGTGAAAACTTACATAGACAAATATATATATATGTATGTATGTATGTATGTATGTATGTATGTGTGTGTGTGTGTGTATATATATATATATATAGTGAGTGAATAGCATACGAATAATCTGAGAAGTGGGAAAAAGTCTTTGCAATATCTGAATTGCTAACATTGATATACTGCTACTCAGTGCAATAAATTTGTTCCTGAAATTTCATCTAGATAATATTCATTGGAGTTCTACAACATCAAATAATTCAGGAGTGCTTACTTCCAGGTAAATGCATAAGGAATTATAGCCTTAAAAATGCCTCTTTTCTTTTGTAAATTATCTTTTATGCCAACTATTTCCAGACTTTCATTATTTTTGCTTTATAAAAGACCCCTTAGGAATTTCTCTTGTGAACGCTTTATGGCCTCCTGAGGAATTCATGATGCAGATTTGCTTTTGGAAAGTTTCTGATTCTCATCAGTGCAAATGAAAGAGTGAGAGAAAAAGGATATTTTGCAAATTCTTTCACGGAATTGTAATTATAAGCAAGGAAACAAAGATGGGTTTAGGCTTGGTACGACGATTCTGTATACTCCAGCTTCACCAGCCACTTTTCTGCTAAACAGCATACATTTAAAATACCTTTTGTATAGAAGCTATTGCCTTCAGACAACATATATCTTATTATCTTTCCTGAATTGCCTCATTATATGTGGGCTAATTTAATATATGATTTGAAAGTTTGACAGATAGCAAAAAATATAGATTGTCTTGTTTGGTGATATATTTCTGCAAGATTTCACGGCTAATCTGAGATCACATCAGATCTTTGAATTTATACTTTTGAATGTGATAGTATGTCTGACTTTACCAAATTTACCCAAGAAATTACTGAGATTGGGTAATTAAGTTTGCAGCCTTCTGTATATTTTTCACTGCCAGTGCTAGAACAAAAATTTTAATTTAACTCAGAGAGCTTTGTAGAACATTCTGTGATTTATCATTTGGACCTGGAGTATACAGAAGACCTTGAAGTACTTGTCTGTTTCTAATTTTTATGAATTTCTATAATGACTGAGGCTTGCAGTGCAAAGCCAGGCCAATGTGTAACTTTTATTTACAATAAAATATAATTTTCAGCTACTTACGTGTGCTACTATATCTTGTATTATTGGAGGCTGCTTGAAGTGAAAGTTTCAATAGCTCCATTTTGCAAAAACACACTATGAATTCTCAACATAGCCATAGTGGGATAGTGAAAATTGTCTCACACTTTTTAAACTCAATTAATAACAAGTTATTTTATCAGATGTTCTCTTTGAAATCCACAACCAGGGAAGTGAAGCAATCCTATATGGCTGTGAATTGTGGGATTTGTTTAAATGTGAGAAAGGTACACTCAGCACTTTAAAAGATGCTTATCATCTCTCATAGCCTGCTAAGCACATTTTTCTGCATATTCTGGAATGTAGGCACCAAACACACTACCTTTTATTAAGGAAGACATGTTTTAAAGTTGCTGAACATGCCATCTGACATGTTCTATATGAATTGTGTGTGAACCACAGCTTTTCTTCTAGCCAGTGATATTAAACTCCTGGTTTTTTAATGCATACAATGATGACTGAATTGTTCTCCCATGTAGAACATGTTTCTTGTTCAGCAAGAAATCTTTTGGAAACTGAAATAGAAGTTGCACATTTTCATCTCTCAAAACTTTCATAAACGACATCAAAGAAGAAAAGCTCAGAAAACCTATATTACAAAAATAAGACAGTGCAGCTCTGGACACAAACACCACAAGTGTACTTCAGCTTATCACGTACCACTGAAAAGGCAGATATAAAAGATAGACACTGAATTCTTCCCCAGAGTTTAAGGCTGAATGGATAGAACAGAGCTGATGAGAACTAGGATGCAAGGTTTGCTATTCCCTTTCAGACCCACGTTCGTCATGGTTTTGGACTAATATACATGCTTCTGTAACTTAAACCAATTCTACCCCCAGAACCCTTAATGTCCAGGATCTCTTATATGCCTCCTTGAAATTCCAAAAGTTGTATTTTCTATTTCATTGTTTAGAATTTCTAAAGCTTAAATATATGCATCTTTACCCTAGATATGTCTATGGTGTTTGCAGCAGAAGCACACAGCCTCCCCATAAGAAAAGGGGTAATAGGCTACGTTAAGGATTCTAAGTAAATTCACAGTCGGAATTCAACATATTGCTGCCTATTTGCACAATTTGTTCATCCAAATGGCCAGATATTGGGAATAGATAATGCTTTGTCTCCTTCAAAACTGGATGTAAAAATAATTTCTAAAAATTGGTTAAAGCCTGTTGAAAAAGTTTCTTCTACTTGAACGTCAAAAGCAAGGAAAGCAACATCTAGATCAACCTATTAGGATGCTGATTGACTTCCTAAAAGGGTGACTGGTTGTATCTTAATATGTTGTATGGAATAATGTGTAGTCAGACTTTTAACCAAGGAAATGTAGAGGTGTGAAATATCACATTTACAGCTTGCTAGTCAAACTGTTTAGCTACAATCCTGATTGCAACTCCATTACTAGTATGACCTAGTATAGCCTAGAACTAGTATGACCTTTTTATAGCATTCCTGCTTTTCCATGAGTAAAGCAAAATTTCCCATTTTCAACGTGTGTAGTTTTTTGGATGCTTAATTCTTTCCACAGCCCATTAAAACTGTGGTTCATTCTTGCTTAGTCTTTCCTGCTCCTAGCCATCTTGCAATTACCATTGCTCTCCATCAGCTCAGTTCATCCCCATATCAAAGATCTCAAAGTGGGGAACTACAGGCTATGGGTCATGCTGTATCTGTACCATTTTCCACCTCTTTCTGCAGCCAGAGTTGCTTGTGCTGCTTGCGCCCAAAACCTTCATCATAGTTGCCTTTGCTCTTGAACAGCTGCTGGTAATGTGGCTTGCAGTAGAATTCCCCATGGAGAGCTGCATAACTACCCAAGCTGAATAGAAACAAGAACATGTTAGGGCTTACTAGGAAAAGGCTGAAAAATGGAAGAAAACTAATATAATGGCAGTTATATTATGAAAACAAAGCCATGAGTTTACTGCTGTGTCCTTCCTGAGAATTTGCAACATGGCATCTTTCAAATTTTGCCATCCTGTGTACTAATAGGAGCATGAGACCTACCCCACAGAGGAAGCATAATTATTGTACTGTACCCAGGCAAAACAGCTGAAGTAATTTAAATGTTTAAATGCCACAAGTGCTTATGTTTCTACAGAATGCAGAAAGAAGCCTAATTTAGTCCTGTTTTTTCTACAATTCCTACTAAACTTAGTAAAGACTTATTTGATGCAAGCTCAACGTCCAAATGGTTTTCTTGGCAACAGCACAGAACTACTTTGCCATTACTTTTTTCTGAGATAATTTTCAACTTCGATTTCCGTTCAGGTACAAAGCATGCCCAACTCTGCTTCTTAACTTTTTCAAGATCAGCTGAGATTATTTGCAAGTGGATCTTTTTTTTTCTTATAGTGAAGTCTCTTGTTGCAATTGTTTTAAAAGCAGACTGAGAAAAGATTAATGCCTTTCTCCCTGTGCTTTAAATGTTAAACAGTGTCTAAAGCTGAAGAATTGGGACCTTAAGGAACTTTGATATGATTGCCCTTTAAGGGGGGAAAAAAACCCCACTGCTCTGATTCAAGCCAGCCATATTTTGCACAGTCTGGGTAGCATTCAGTACATGGTAGAAAGGCTGAAAAAAATATGAGATGTCGTATCAAAACAGAATCTATTCTCAGTTCTTTATTAGGCTGCTAAATGGGATGGGTGGAATTGTAATTAATGATGCCAATTGGGAATGATACAGAGCCAACAACCAGGAGATAGACCCATATATTCCCTTTGCGTTGCTTCCTCCCTGAAGCAAAAGAGGAAAGCTTCTCACTTTTCCCTTACCTTAGCTTGGTGTGGCAATGCTTACAGCAAAAGCAGTAGTTATGGAAGACAAATTTATCAGCCACCAGGCGCTCCATAGGATAGACAGTTTTCTGGCAGGCACTGCATGTCTCTTTCACCTGGGCCTTCATGCTGAATGACTGGGTGACAAGAATAAAAGGTGATGTTGGTTAAAGTAAATTCCAATAGAGGAGGCAGAAAGGGAAAAAGAACAATGTACAATTACCAGTGATTTAATTGTGAAGATACAATTTCAAAGCAATTTGAATACAGCATACTTGACTCGTTTGCCAAGCTTCCTAACTTCAGCTATGTTTAGCTACTAATAAATAAAAGCAGTCTTAAGAGGCACCCTGGTTTAATATTAAGTACTTTAATAGCTGGAATAAGCAGTAGCTTACGGAGAATGTTCCAAATCTAAAAATTTCAGGACACCGGAATTCAGAATGAAATATTTAACAATAGCAATAGAATTTGGGTTTATATATCAATCTGCAGTGCTTTACAGTATTCTCTGACTGGTTTACAGAGTCAGCATATTGCCCTCAACAATCTGGGTCATTTTACTGACCTCAGAAGGATGGAAGCCTGAGTCAATCTCAAGCCCTGTCAGGATCGAACTCCTGGTGGTGGGCAGAGTCAATCTGAAATACTGCATTCCAACCTATAATCAGACTAATAATAATCCACTATAAATATTTACTTAGTAGAAACCAAAATGTTATTGAAAATCATTTTAAAGGACTTATCACAAGCATAATCCTCAACCATAATTTTCACACATTGTGGTTTTTTTTTAATTTTAAAACACACATGGAAATCCACGTTCTGAATTCAATTGGCATTTAGGGAAGATACTTTTGAAATACATCTAAAAAGAGAGCTATCAACTTGCTTTTCAAAACTGAGGTTTAAAAATAATAAAGAGAATGATTACAAATTCTACATAAAATGTAGTTTCTATCTGAGGGTGAATTATTTTATTGCTATTTTCGTATGTTCTATAAATTTGTTGCACCCCAGAATACAAGAATGCGTTCTGAAGAGAAGATAGGCATTGCCTTTGACAGCTCTGCTCAATTTTGATAGGTACATTAATTCTCAGTCTTTTAGGATCAGGATAGCCTAGTAACAGTGATTCAGTGATTTACAGAGTTATCATTTCACAGTTAAACCACTGCAGTGTATCGTACATGGCACTGTTCTTAAAGAAGAGCAGTTAGAACGAGAAACTGCAGTTAGCGGCAATCTTCTCACTTGTATTTTGACTCAAGCAAAACTCTGGTTATTTCTTTAATATCTGTGTTTATTTAAATATTTCAGTTTAGGATTAAAGAAAAGTTAGCAGAAACAATTTCATTAATACACCGAATATCCAAGGATCAATTGCAGTATTTCTCAACCTTGACACTTTAAGATGTGTGGACTTCCTATAGTATTTCAGAGTTCCCCAGCCAGCATAAAGTCTCCTTCCAGAATGCTAATTAGGGAATTGTGGCAGTTGAAGTCCACACATCTTAAAATTGATTAGATTGAGAAACACCCTAATAGAACTACTTGGCTTCCAAGTAGGATTTCCAAGTAGAAATCCCACCCTTCCAAACCTTTGTTTTGGTCTTCAAACTGCCAGGTGAGGCCTGCGCAGGCCTAAACGGAGCATCGGAGGGACAGACTCGCCCCTTCTAACCTCCATTTTGGCTGGCAAAGTGCAGGACGAATGTTGCAGAGTCTATGTGGTTGTTCATAAGGGCGAACAACTGCCATGGTGCTGCAAGATTCATAGGTTCAGAGCTTGTTCATAAACATTAGGGGACGCTGATTGTGTAACTTCGAATGTTCACTAAAGGAACGCTCGTAATCTTGGGATTACCTGTAGTCACAATTTTTTCAAGTAACAGAAGCCAGAAAGAAGAAAAAGGAGTGATAAATACCTTGGATCTCTGTACAATAGATGTCGCCGTGTTGCTCTTTGCTTCCTAAAAAAAGGAGGGGGAGGGGAAATAAAAATTAATGTTGTTCTTGCATGGCAAATCATATTTATAGATTTGAATACAAACTGCAGTTTACTTGTATTATATTTACTGATAAAAGTTAGAAAGCTAGTACTTTTCTTGAACTCTTTCTTTAGTTGTTTGAATATTGTTAATCAATCTACAACAATAATAATGCAAAAAAAAAAGATTCAGGAACTTCAGAGAGACATTCTACTGCTTTATAAAATATGAAGAAAAAAGAAAAAAGAAAGAAAGAAGGGAAAGAAGCTACTATATCCACAAATTACAAGGTGGAAGAACGTATTCAGGTGAATCTGTATAATCACATTATTTTCAAATGAATTGTTTGCAAATAACTCAACAAAATACATGGAATTAAATCGATAGTCTCTTGTGATATATTCTGTATAGCGTTCTGATGCAACTCTTTATGCGTGACAGTGGATGATCACACAAAAAGAGTTACATCAGAACACTATATGGCAAGGAGAGAATCCACTGCAGTATCCAGCAAGCCAAACAGTTGGAGAGCTGGTACCTACATTAACAATTCAAGCAGAATGGGTACCCATAATCATTTGTCACAAGATATCTGCCCAACACGGTAGGGAGAGAAAGGAAGAAACTCAGTACAAGATCAACCACATGGCACACCCTGCCATACATCAAAAGTATTTGGAAGCTGAAGAATGCAGTTTCCGAGTTCTGCAAGTGGGCATCGCACACCGCCTAGGGGCTATCATATGAGGACAAATTATGCATTGCAGAAGATCACTTGGAGGTGGGATATACTTCCAATGTAATTTACCAAATCCCCTGCATGGATTGTCCCTGTGACTATGAAGGACAGACAAGGAGAAAACTAACCACCAGATTGCAAGAACACAAGCAAGTAGTCAGATGGGGAGACCCATACCCATTGGTAGCCTGACACTGCAATGAACAAGGACACACACTCAATTTTGCAGCTACTAAGACTGTTGGATGAGCAGGTATAGAAACAGTCAGGAAAGTGATTGAAGCCTGGGAAACAGGTCCCTTGTCAGTCAACAAGAGTGCTGATTTACCACCAGCCTATCAAATACTTAGAAGGCGAGGGCTGAGCAGCAAAAGCAAATGAAAGAGAATGACTTAAAAGCCAGCCATCAGTACACCCCAACCAACATCTAAAAAGCCACTTACAACAGGCATTATAAATACCACACACAGAACAGCACACATTCTGCTAGAGAGAAGTTCCCTGAAGATGGGCTCCTGCATGAGTCTGAAAAAGAAAAACCTCTGGTCCCAGGGTCAACCCTGATTTGATCCTGTAATTTTTTTTTCTTTACACCTATATTCCTCCCAATGAGAAAAGTATTTTCTTCAATAGACTCTACAGTATACATTAAGTTTTCTGCCATGATGAACATGTTGTTATTTAAGGTACCATGAGAAGTTTGTTATCTGCATAATTAATATCATCACTCAGATAAAAGTAACATAAATTTGCTTGGTTCACATATAATGCTAAATCAAAAGTTCACCAATAGCACTGCAATTTATTGCTGCATGCAATCCCAGCCATTGCTTTAATAATCCTGTCTGAAAAGCATAGTTTAAATAAATGATATGGTGCAATGTACAAACAATATTATTTCCCCATGCTACTTCCTATGAAGTAGCAGTAACTCTTTAAAGATACTCATTTCTGTACGTACATTAGAAGAGGCTGTACTGGATTGTCCCTTAGCTTGAAACATAGTGCTATATTATCACCCACACAGGCTTATATCTTCACTTGTTTGGGCTGGCTAATTCTTCAATATGGATATGGCTTATACCTGAGGAGAAAAGGGAAAAATTAAGTCTTCTATACTAGAATATTTCTCATTTTTCTGAAATGTAAATTCCAGATGACCAAAACATCGTGCACAAATACTGCTAGCATACACACACACTATTTTATTGTACTTTTTAGACTAATTGCAGATCAAGAGATAAAAAAACAATTCTCAATGCAATCTCATACATAGTAGAAATGTGTTAAGATGGCATTATTTTTAGTATATTTGCAAACATAAGAACATGAATATATTTACCTCAGTATGTAACTTATCTATTTTAATACAGTCATTAACAAACATATTTTACAAAAACTATTCTTGAAATAGTAGCTATCAATATAACTTAATAATCAATATAATTTGACAAAATAAATTAGTGTACCTATGTTCTTTAAATCACTAATATATATAAGATATGTACGTATGCAGTGGGGGAGGATTGTACATGTGTATTAGAGAGATTCACATTTTCCCCTAAAGCTCAGAGCTGAAGAAGCTTCTTGGATGAGAAGCAAAACATCTTCAAAGAAAACAAGAAAGTCCAGTTCCCTCTTGACAAAGCACCTTTGGGACAACTGTGACCGAGATGACAGAATCTCCATAGACAATTCTCCCCAAAGCTTTCCTTCTGTCTGCCCAGAAAAATAAAACTGTTGGATTCTCCTACCTAGTTTCAATTTGTTTGCGTCTTCACTGCCACTCGAATCTCTCCTGTTCATGGACATTTACACTTGCTAGAACACTCTTGCCTCTTGGTTCTGCAAACCCTGTGTGCTGCTTAAAGAAATGGCCCTGATTCATTTCCGTTCCGCTTTGTGGTTAGCTTGTTATTTCCTGCTTTTTCCATTTAAGGACATGCCAGGTACCCATAAGAGAGTTAAAATTTTCATATTAGATTCTAGAACCATATAAGCAAAGGGCAAAATGTCCTCCCCAATTTGACATGCCTGAATTCGCACCAAGGCAGCCACTGCAAGATATCTGGCCACTGACACTACCATTAAAACTATTTTGAAAACTGACAGTGCATCAGGAATTAGGTTTTCTAAAATAGAGCAAAATGATAATTTTGTTATAAACAATCACTTGAGTGTATTGGGAAGTTGAAATGATTTGATGCTAAAATGATTTGCCCTTGTTTTGAGTCCTGATGTCAAATTTGTCTCCATTAATTCCTTTGTGCAAAGTTTGTCGTAGTACAATGTAGAACAAAGTTTGTCTTACATAGAATCCAGAAAAGTGTTGCTGGAAACTGACTTATATCATTTTGGACAAAAAGAATTTAAAGTATCTCTAATCTTGTATATATTTTTGTTGGGGTGTATGATGGTGGTCTTGGTGCAGATATGGGGCAAACCAAGGACACATTGGTATATAAAGCAATCCTGTCTTCCAAGATGTTCTATATAATAAATCCCAACATAACTGTTTTGGAAAAACTAGACTTCCTGTACATTGTTGAACAAGAGAGTGCTAAACTCAAATACATCCAAAGGTTTCATGCAATCTCAGAAGGTCTCAAGACACACAATCAGTTTTTAACTCATTATAATTGTTGATCGACAAAGGATTGCATAACCAACTTGTCTTTCCCGCCTTTCTCTCTCCATCTCATCCCAACTTAACTTCTATATCAGTTAAATTAGTTTATTCATCTGATGAAGTAAGATGCAGCTCACAAAAGCGTATGGCTTTTAATAAAATATATTAGTTTAAAAAGGTGCTGACCAACTTCTTCTGCTATCAGGAAGGTATATGTCAACATATTATCAATAAACAAACAAACCACACATTCAGACATGGCAGAAAGGCAAGAAAACTGAGAAAAGTATGGGAAAGGAGTCACAAAACAATTAAATAATACAGTTCAACAAACCCACTCTGTTCTTTTATTATATTAAAAATGCACTTTATTTATTAAATTTATATGTTGCCCATCTCACTGCCCAAAAACAATCAGTATTACATATACCAAAGGATTCTTTCACTAAATCTAACTAAATATTACTTTCACCATAACTTGAATAAAGGTGGAAAGATACAGAAATACAGAAGAACCTCTGGTTCAAACGCTTCTGACCACAACCAAATCGGGTTCCGACCAAACAATTAATTTTTTTTTTTCACGGCCGATTTTCCCTTTTGTGCCATTTCAATAAAAATCAAATACATTATGAATTTTAGCATTTTGCTTATCCTAAACATATTAGATGTTGAGACTCTAAAACAGTGGTGTCAAACTCAAGGCCCGTGGGCTGGATCCAGTCGGCGGGGTACTTAAATTCAGCCCAGGGGCCGGCCTGGAAATATCAAAAGACTGGCCCGCGGTGCCTCTGCCAGCAAAAATGGGCCACATGCGCCCCCCCCGCAGCCCGTTTTTGGGGGGCTGGCCTCCAGCAGTGACACTCAGTGATGTCAAAATGACGGGCACAACAAGGTAATGTGCTATCCTTTTTAACATACATTGCAGAATTTACATTGACTTAAAACTGCCAAGGTTTGGGTCACTCGTTAACTGCTACTGTGGACTTCCTAGGAATGTAATTACATAGCTAGTTATCAAGAACTCAAAGACATTTGTGTTGTTCAGCTGAAGGGTAGTGTTTTTTTCCTTTTGTACATAGCCTGAATTTACATAGCTTAAATTTTTCAGTCTTAGATAGAAGTTAGATAATTAGATAAAATTGAGTTTAATTGCTCTTTTCCAGGTTTTAGATTTATAACCATTAAACTTTATAATAACTGACAACAATTTCATGTATAATAGTATGTAGATAAATGGTCTTTTTTCCATGATCTGTTCGTGTCAATTTTTCTCAAATTAGGGTTCACGGAGAACTTGGGCAAACTGGTACCTATTTGTTTGTGTATTTGTACTGGTATCTATGCGAGTGATATTTCACTTTCATTTGATATACTTGAATTTCAGATTGTACCTTCCAATTTATATAATTGGGGATGGTCTGAATGAGGTTTCCATTAAAAGAAGTGTCTGTTCATTCTCCTATGTGGCTTTAGCCCCAGATATAAAGGCATTCAATTTTGATAATAGTGATTGAAGGTTTTCTTCTTTATAAGAAAATTATTCATTTTCTGTTGAACCCTTTGAAGTCCTAGCTTTTGTTATAAAATTAAAGTATCAAAATCCAGATTTTATTATTAAAGGCATTTTATAGGTAGTCTTCATTTAGGGACTGCCTTATACAATGAGAATTCGCGGTTATAATGGTGATGAAAAAGTAACTTTGCAGCCAATCCACATTTACTATCTTTGCAGGTCTGTAAAGCAAAGGAAAGTTGAAATAAATTCATAAGCAATCACAGTTTCACTTAGCACTTGCTTAACAATGGAGTTGCCAGTTCCAACTATAGTCACTAAATGAGTGATCAGTATGAGAATGTGTGCTGCCATCAGCCTCTTTCATTTTCTCTTTTCTCCCTTAAGTAAAGGGAAGCAACGACTTCATTACCACAGTTTTTCTGAAATTTAAGGCACAAAATTACAAGTTCCTATTACATATCCCTATTTGAGATAGATATTGGATAACCCAAATAATTTATTTTCCTCACTAGTGAAGATTCTTTTTATGTCTTCTGCAAGGGTTTTTTCTTCACCTCCATCACATAGTATTGTGAAAAAACTTAAATCTAAATGGTGTTCCTAAGAACAAGAATTATACTAGCTGAATTCCCTAATCTAGCACTCTTATCATGTATAGGTTTACAACACCCTCAGTTGACTAGTTCATACAACAATATTGTATTGTATATACTCATAGATAAGCCCAAAAAAATAGGTTCAAAAATACACCCACAAAATTGGGTTCAGGTTATCAGAGTTCAGAGTTCAGTTTTTTTTAAAGCCCATCACAGCCTTAAAATTATGTGGTTTTTATAAATTACGTTATAACAATTTGCAGTTTCCCGCCTGTCGCTATGGCTAAAAATTCAAGGCTCGTCTTATCCACAAGAGGTATATTTTTCATGATACTTTAATTGAAGTTTTGAGGGCCAATTTATCTGCAATAAGCCTATCCAAAATAATATATGGTAACTACTTTATATCAATAATTTATAAGATGAACTGATCACACAGCACCCTTCGATACCACTGTAGACACATTGCTGAATAGATTACAATGTCCAGCAAACCATTTTCCCCTGTGAATATTCATGGCATGGTATCTCTAGTGACCTGAGTCAGGGGAGACTTTCCAGGCTAAAACTTGACTGGAGTGAAAGCTAACCTTTCACGAGGACCCTATTACCCTTGGGATAATCCCTTTTCTGGTCAATTTTTGGCAGAGGAACCTTTTTTGCTCAATGTAAGGCTAAAGAGGAAGTGACAGCTTAGCTGTTATATGATAACTTGCCCAAAAGCTATTATTCTGATTCTCTAGCCATCAAATAAGTGGCCAGAGAGTTGCCTAAAAAGATAAAAACATTTACAAGTAAAGGATTACAACGCCAAATAAATGCTCCAAGTTAAATCATTCAAAAGCAATGAAAAGCTGGTCCCTACCAAGGGAGCAGAAAAAATATCTGACTATCAAAGATACTACTACTAAAGTGCATTCTTCTAACAGAAGAAAGAGTTACTGGAAAGAAACACAGTGCAGAGATTCAAGAAGTAAGGACTTTGTTGTTTCCTTTATTTTTTCATTCTTCTTGTCAACAGAGAATTTGAATTTTCTTCATAGGAACTGTTTTGCATATTTTTAATCTCTAGACAAATAGCCTGTTCATTGGCTTCACCAGTGATATTACTCATAGCAACCTCACCAATCACAATGACGTTCAAATGACAATTGTTATAACTACTATGCTTATGTTCTTAAAGCCTGATAGCTGATGTCATGGGGCTTACATCATGACATATTGCATCATATGTTCTCCCTTCCTCTTCCGTGGATGCCCATAATCTTGCAAGACATCCCAAGGGAGCCAGCAAAGAGAGCAACATTTCAGAATTTCTTTAAAATTAAACTCACTAATGCTGAATTCCAGAATCCCATTCATAGCCTCAGAAATGAGAGCCTTTTATTTTACAATTTTTTTAATATTATGTCATAGAGAAAAAAGCTAGTACTTCTAAGCATCAACACCAGGGGTCCTCAAACTAAGGCCCACCGGCTGCATATGGCCTGCCGAAGCAATTAATCTGGCCTGTGCAGGACCATGAGGCTGCTGTGCCCACATTGCCCTGCCCACCTGCCAGCCCCCACCTTTTGGCCGAGCACAGGACTTACCTTCAAGAGCCCCACAGGCTGGAACTAGAAGGCAAGGCCAACATTTTTGGCCTGCAAAATGCTACTGGAGGCAGGGGAGGTGAAAAATGGGGTGTGCCAACACCCTGGGAGGCCAAAAATGGGCCTGTTTTGGGGGGAACCTCCAGTAGCACTCTGCAGGCCAAAAACGGGGTGTCCCCTTGTCCCATTTTTTACCTCCCCTGCCTCCAGAATAGAGAGAGAGAGAGAGAGAGACAGAGAGTGAGAGAGAGAGACAGAGAGAGGGATAGACACAGAGAGAGACAGAGACAGAGAGAGGGGGAGAGAAAGAAAGAGAGACAAGAGAGAGAAAGAGATAGACACAGAAAGGGAGAGAGGGAAAGAGGCAGAGAGACAAGAGACAAGAGAGGGAGAGAGAGAGAGAAACTTGTTGACTGTAAGCTCCTTGGGGCTGAGAAGAACTGCTGCAAAACTGAGTTTCCTGAAGTGGACTACTAGAGTCCTAAACAATTGAAAAAGCAATCTATTAAAAACAAAAGTAATCCAAAAGAGCAACATGCAAACAAAAGCAAATAAAACACCCCTAAGGAGCAAAACAAATTGAAGTTTAATTTGTATGCATTGTTTAATGAACTGTTACATTGGCCATGCCCACCTAGTCACATGACCTCCTAGCCACACCCACCCAATCACATGACCTCCTGGCCACACCCACCCAGCTGATCTGCCCCTCCCCCAACAGTCTGAGGGACCATTAATTGGTCCCGTTTTAAAAGTTTGAGGACCCCTGATCAATACTGTCCTTTAACTACAACTGTGCTATCACATGATTTCTCCCAATTTCCTGTAATATTTTTGCAGAACCATTTATTCTAAGGTAGATTATATATACACTAGCATGTATTTTGAATTTCCTTGATTATTACAAAACAGAATTGACTTCCAATTTTTTTTTTTTTGCAGCTAAATCTTTCTAGGATCCTGTAACATCATCTCTCTATAAGTCATTTATAACTAAGTAAGTTATAAACTAATTTTATATTTAGAATATTTGTTTGCTAATTGATCAAAAATTAAAGTTTTTGCTTATTGTCTCTGACTAAGCAAGATTTTTTAATGTTAAATATTGAAAACTGTCAACATTTTTTTCATTTGCTTTACTCTACATTCAGTTCTTTCTTGTCCTTCTTGTCAGAAAAAAAACTATTATGGAGTCTTTGGATCTCTCAATTTGATTGTTTGCCTGCAAACGTTTCTTTACTCAACTAAGTAACATCATCAATGCTAATGATTAACACTCAAAATAAAGGAGAAGGAAGAAACATAATATTTTTTTAACATGGGATTCATTTTACCAATAGCTAGTTAACAGAAACAGAAGTTAGAAACTCAAAAGTTTAAGAAAATGATTAACTATACAATGAAGGTTTATTAGTATGGCTAAGCAAATATTATTATTATTATTAATATTAATATTATGATTATGATTATTATCAATGATATGAATATTATTGTTATTTTTACTATTATTATTTTTCAAAACTAACTGTACTCAGACAACGTTGTTCACATAGATATTGAGTTTTTATGTTTACTAAAGAAAAATGTATCAATAAAATATTTTATAAAATGTTAGTGAATATGGATTTGCTCCTACACTCTCTAGGAAACAAGGGAATTCACTAGGGCAGTGATTCTCAACCTATGGCTCATGGACCCCTGGGGGGGCCTGCAATGTCATCACAGGGGGTCCGCAGAGGCTTGAAGAAATATTATGATTTAAATCTTGGGTCTGTGGCCACAAAAGATATTTAAAGGGGTCTGTGATGAAGAAAAGGTTGAGAACCACTGCACTAGGGAGTGAGATCAACAATTCTGTGAGACTAATTGGACTGAGAGAGAATGACAGATTCAAAGTCACTCAGCTGGCTTTCATGCTTAAAGCAGGACTAGAACTCAGTCTCCTGATTTCTTGCCTGGTGCCATAACTATCAGATTAAATTGGTTTTGTACAGATCAGAACCTTTCTATTTATTTGAAATAGAAACATGCAATAATATGACTCCTCAAAAAAAGTATGAAGTTGAACAGATTTTTGGATATTTTTTAAAATGCTAGTATTTTGACTTGTTAGATTCCATTACTTGATCTGTTTTGTGTACCTGTGCTTTTAAAAATGTGGTGGTTGGGCAAACCTACAAATACTCATTGAATACTAAATCAATCAAGTGGGAAAGACGTTGCAACACACCAGGGTAAAATGTGGCTGGCCAGTTTCAATATATTGTACAACTATAGCCATAGGATATCCTGTTTACAGCCAAATCCCCCATCCTAGGCTTCAATTGGGAAGCAGGGATTCCAGTTCAGAACCAAATACTGGCACTCAAGACAAGTCTGAGCAGCCAATAGTCTGTTTCCGAATCACCAAACTACAGCAAAATTCCCACGGAGTTTTTTCTTCAAGTGAAATATAACGGGATCAAGCCTTAGAAAGGCCAATTCCATCCCAAAGGAGCCCAGGAAACTACTTTTGATGTCGTGCCCCCTGTTACCAACACCGTCATTCATTTGACTTAGACGGTTCGCTTCCTAAGATAAGGACCAGATGTCTTAGAGTGAACGCCGGGCTTTTGTACAGCACCGAGCACTTTACAAGTCATTCAAGAACCATAGGGCTCAGCAGCCGGGGTGCCGCCATCTCTTCGCTTTGAAAGCACAAATGCAACAGTTATTCTTAGCCTAGCACCTCTCCCATCCTTCTCCTTCTCCACAGCGCACCAGTAGGCACACCTCTTTGCGCTAGTGCACGCAAGCAGGCGAACGAAGCCAAAGTTACAGGTCCGCTCTCTTTCCCGAAACCTGGAGCCTACCGGGCGAGCCTTTTGCCCCACCAGCCCCAAACAAGGCCTCTTTTGCATCTTGCCCTCTCTGCATCCGCCGCGCCCGCCAGCCCAGAGCATCTGGCCGCTGCAATCGGACATTCGCCACTTACCAAAGGGCGTCGCTGCGCGCCGAGACCCCAACTGTCCCAACGAGGCCGATCTCCCGGCGCACCTCTGCTCGCTACTGCTTCCAAGGAAAGTGGGAGACGCCGGCGCTTCGCCCCCCTCAGCACACACAAAGCGCGGCACTGCTTGTTTCCTCCTTCGTCTCCTTTGTGTGCGAGTGCGCGCGCAGCAATCTCTCAGCCCCTCGAGCTTCCCATCCTACTTCGCTCTTTCTCTCCCCACCTCTGTCTCTCCCCTCCGGCTCCGCTGAATCCCCACTGGTTATTGCCTTCTTCTTCCTCCATCAATGCGAGGGCGCGGAGCTTCAAAGGGGACGCGGTCGGGGGATACGCCTGAGTGTGTATATGCGTGAGAGAGATCGAGATCCCCGCGATAGGCAACCAACCGTTTTGGTTGCCTGTCGTGGAGATCAAATGTCGCTCTGAGAAACAGTGGTGGCAGTCAAAAGTTCTTGAAGTCCAACTCCGAATCTGGTCAATCAGATGCCCTTCCCTGGAGAAGCTCCCCAACAAAGAGCGGAGGCCCAGCAAGGATTTGGAGTGGGGCATCTAATGCTTTGAAATCGCCTGCTGCGGTCTCTCTGAACAGGTTATTTCAAAGGATTTATCTGTTGACTTACAATATCCAGTGGCTGCTCAATCCATAGGTCTCACTAAAGGTGCATCCTTTGGGAGTCTCCAAACAGTTCCTTCTGGACATGATACCCAGGACTTTTAATCACTGTCCTGTAACCTTTTCTCATTTATTTATTTTGTTAGATTTATAGTCTCATTGATATTTTTCAGGTGCTCAAGGAAATATATGCAGTTAGCACATCCTTTTCCAAATTTTTCCCCACCCTGCAACCCAATCACCTTCCATGACTGAGGGAGGGCTTAAATCGGGATCTTCCTGTTCCTAGCCCAACACCTTTACCACTACACTGTATTGTTTTTAAAAGTCTGTTGCTGTCTATAAAAATCCAGTTATTTGTAAAAGAAATCGCTTACCAACACAAGTAAAAATGCACAACACAAGTCTTTCCACCATCTCTGAAATCCAATAGAAAAATGGATTGTTCAGAGAATGAATACCTGTGTATGTCTATGGAGATTCTCAATCATTGAGGTCATGGTTGTCCCAAAGGTGCTTTTTCAAGAGACAACTGGACTTTCTGGTTTTTCTTTGAAGATGTTTTGCTTCTCATCCAAGAGAAGAGCTGAAGAAGCTCCTTGGATGAGAAGCAAAATGTCTTCAAAGAAAAATCAGTCCAGTTGCCTCTTGAAAAAGCACCTTTGGGAATACTTGTCTAATTTCTCCAAAATTTACCATCACATTAACTGAATACAAGAATATAAGATATATTCCTGGCTCAGGACATTTATGATCTAAAATTATACAATCTAAAATAAGTGTAGAGGAACAAGACAAGAAATGGAATTTGAATTTATTTGTAAGTTGAATTACAATATATTAAAATTAAAATAACCACCACCAGCTCACCCAAATTAGCACACTCCAGCTCTGTGGATTTTATCATAATTACAGCTCACACCAGAATACTTATCAAGTGAGATAGATATACGCACTTCAACCAGTATGAAAAGCTCTGATAGGACATATGAACAACATAACAAGGAACAAAAGCCTCATGTCTGCGACATTATTCAGTTGTTTTGCTGTGTGATATTCTACTAATAAGCAACTACACCACTATGTGCCTTGATTAAATACAATAGCCCTTATATCTATCTGATCCTTTCTGATCAGGTATTTGATTCAGTTTTTCCTCTAGTATGCTAGCGATTTATGTATCTTAGTTTATCTTAATGGTAACCTTAATGTAACTTTATTGATTTGAGCTATATTTCTACCATATCTGGGAAACCGTCTCACCAACCAGCCATAAAATCTTTCCCTTCAAAGACACAGAAACATAATTGCAAATGTCTTTTCCCAAAAGTCACACTCTCTGAGAAAGTTTGCTAACCAATAGTAGAGCCCTCCACACAAACAGACTTTCTTTCTGAGAGGATATCATTAGATAGGTGGTATGCTTTGCCCGTTCCTATACTTTATATCCTGTAAATAAATAATCTGTTTGCTATAAAGCATGGATTGCTCCAACCAAATTCCCACTTTCATAGAAAATGATTCAACCTCCAATATCCCCTTTTTGCTTTAGTTTATACTTAATTGATTAAGTAAATCTGAAAACAAGATGGAGCTGTAAATGACACAGACATTTTTTAACATTTTGATTCCTTTTAAAAGAGAGAAAGTATATTTTCCATCTGAAGTGACTACAGGTGTTGGTTTATTAAACAATTCTCTATGTTACTTTGCACGTTGGCTGGCATTCACAACAAGAGTGTACTAATAAACTGTCCAGATTTATAGTGTATTATAATTCAGTTAACAAATCAAATTTCAATGAGTGAAATCCCAGTATGGACATAAGGGCAACCTAATAATACTGAGGTAGGAAATAGTGATACTGCTGCTATGCTGGTATCTTCACAATCATAGCTACCAGGAAAAGCACATATTCAGAAAGAGGTACAAAAATGACAGGATGCCTTCTTCCCATGGTACTCAGAGCACCTTGCCACCAGCAAATAAATCAGCACTCCTGAAAAGGATCAGCTGCTGATAGAATCTGGGCACATTTATTTAAGAGAGGGAGTCTCCACCCTGGTACAGACAAAGTGTGGAAGAAAGAAGGTCCAGCAGAAGAGCAGCTGGTGGAGAACAAGGGAAGATCCAGATAGAATATAAACTTGGCAGTTGGTGTATGTAGACACTGAATCTGGATGCCTAGTAGGTGTTAGGAAGTGAAAGAGAGAGAGAGTTTAGGCAACACAAGTGTTCACAAATAGCAAAGGAGTGGGAGGGAGACAGCTACCATTGCTACATCCAGCAAGAACTGTGCTCTCTTATCTGTTATTTTAGCTTTGGGAGGGGGAGGTGTTTGCTCAATCTACATCTCAAATTCTGGGGCTAACACAGTACCTGAAAGAACGATGACCCTGAATTTACAACCATCTTTCCATTCATAGAAATTATATAGGTATATGTATACATATACATACAACACACACACACACACACACAGAGACAGAGATAGATAGATAGATAGATAGATAGATAGATAGATAGATAGATAGATAGATAGATAGATATACACATACATACCTACCATACATACATACAGAAAAAAATTCTGCACAGTATCCATCTCTACAATCTAGGTTGCTAATTCCAGCTGAAACAAATCAGTGAGATTTTCTTCATCCAGTAAATGTGTTGACACTTAACATATATATCATATTTGTATGTTTGTTTCACATATCTGCAAAATTTATATTCTAGAAAGGGCCAGGGTCAGAAGGGGGAAAATGAATAATTGATTATAATAAAGTGCCTGTAGTTAAAAAGTACCTTTTTATAAAATTAATTGATCTTCCATCTGTCAACCATTCTCTCTCTCTCTCTCAAGCATGTACAAAACTCTTACATACAGAAATGTGCACAAATTTCCTTTCTTTTTCTAGCAGAAAGAAAGGAGAGGGAGTTCTGTTTGAGAACTGAGATGTTCTAAGGTAAAGGAACAATTGCACTTGAAAGGGAAAAGGGGGACCCAGCTGGATAAAAATATGTTACAAGATGGGTTAAAATTCTCTAGGCAAAATGCCCTATCCCACAACAGCTAATCTTCAGGGTAAGTTTCAAAGCATCCATCTTTTTCAACAGATTGTAGTAAGTAGTCTATAAATTATTTGCCCTAACATTTCTCTGTCCATTTTCCTATTGATGCGAATGTACTTGTTTGCCTGACTCCTGGATATAGGCTTAATCACACTGTACATGTTATAGATCTCCACAAGACTGAGACTTGTCTCATGGTCACATGCAAATTGGGTTACCCCTCTAGGGCAGAGATGGGTTTCAGCAGGTTCTGACCAATTCTGGAGAACCGGTAGCAGAAATTTTGAATAGTTTGGAGAACGGGTAAATACCACCTCTGACTGGCCCCTCCCCCATCTATTCTCTGCCTTCCGAGTCCCAGCTGATTGGAAGGAAATGGAGATTTTGCAATAACCTTCCCCTGCCATGCCCACCATGCCATGCCCACTAAGCCATGCCATGCTCACCAAGCCACACCCACAGAACCGGTAGTAAAAATTTTTGAAACCCACCACTGCCCTAGGGGTTAGGGTTTTAAAACAAACTGAGGACAAGGTGACGTGTGAACTGAGGCTAAAAAAAGGGCATAGTTTGCCCTTGTAATCTCCTTGGAACTTGGAGAAACCGGATCAAAGTGGAAGGACATTTTATTCAGATGACTTTTATTCTATAGAAAGAGATAAAATGTCTAGGTTTAAATTTGCAGGGTTTGGATTTTTTTTATAAAAAGTAAAAAAAAAACACACAACATTGCATCATTTCTGACTGATGCCAAATCTCATCTTGTAGTTATTTATGAAATCCGGTGTTTAATATAGGCTTTCTGATATATGTAATGCCTCAATATCCCTAGTGAATGATGTGCTATGGTTGCACCCATATTGAACTGTACAGATAGCAATGAACATATCAAACTACTACAGATAGTCCTCAAATTATTACCACAATTGAGCCCAAAATTCCTGTTGCCAAATGAAACATTTAAATGAGTTTTGCCCCTTTTTATGATCTTTCTTGCTGCACTTGTTAAGTGAATCACTGCAATTGTTAAGTTGGTAATATGGTTGTTAAGTGAATCTGGCTTCCCCATTGATTTTGATCACATGACCATGGAGATGCTGAAATGGTCATAACCAGTGGTGGGATTCAACCAGTTCGCACCACTTCGGGAGAACCAGTTGTTAACTTTCTGAGCAGTTTGGCAAACTGGTTGTTGGAAGAAATAATTAGGGCAGAGAACCGGTTGTTAAATTACTTGAATCCCACTACTGGTCATAACTGTAAAAACAGTACTTTTTTCAGTACTGTTGAAATTTTGAACGATTGCTAAACAAACTGCTATAAATTGAGCATTACCTGTATACTTTTTCATAAATACAATTTAGTCATTGTGGATATTGAAACACTATATATCAGTGATGGTGAACCTTTTCAGCACTGAGTGCCGAAAAAGGAGCACGTGCATGTCCTTGTCTGGGCCGCAACTGAAAAGAGAACCTGCCTTAGGGCACATGCGCATGCCCAAAAATAAACCTCTGGTTTCCGCCATGAGCATTTGTACCAGCCAGCTAATC